GGAGGAGGAGGAGGAGAAGGATGACGACGAGGAGGAGGAGGAGGCGAGGGACAGCGAAGGAGGCAAGGAGGGAGAGGAGTTGAGCAGGGGGCGTAGGAGGCGGAGGAGGAGGAGGAGGAGGAGAAGGAGGAGGAGGAGGAGGACCTGTGTAAAGCCAAGTCGCATCAGTGATGTTGCAATGGGCCCTCCCTTCAAGTTCCCTCTTCAGAGGCCCCTACAGGAATTGATCGTCACTACGGGCAGTGGCCCGTTAGAGACAACCGTCTGAGAATCCTGAACCGTGCTAAAGCACCACTCCTGGGAGTTCAACGCCGCGACTCAACCGTACTACTGCGTCTGCACGATCCCGAATCGTGCCAGGAAGCCGTTCTTGGGACTCCGACGTCGCTACCTGGCCGCAGCAACAAGTTTTTCCTCGGAGACGCGAAAGACCTCAGGAGGACCCAAGCCGATGCCAAGGCGGCCCCGCGACCCCAGTGCGTTTCCGAGATGGCCCCCTCCCGGCACCACGAGGCGCCAGGAAGACCAGCTACGCGAGCTGATTCTCTAACCCCCCTCTGCTTTTCTACCCTTTCGCCCCCCCGAGAGGAGGAGGAGGAGGAGGAGGAGGAGGAGGAGGAGGAGGAGGAGGAGGAGGAGGAGGAGGAGGAGGAGGAGGAAGAGGAGGACCAAGGCCCGGCAGTGCGGAAGGTTCGTGTCGGGACGACCTCGTGCGCTGGTTTCCGTTACCACGCAGCTCCGTTCAACCTCGCACGATCGGCGGCCTTCCGATCGCCAGATCGTTCCACGTTGTCGATGCCACTGGCGGCGTTAAAAACTTAAGTTGGGCCTGCCCTTCTACAGGAGGAATATTCAAGAACAGGCAGAGAAATAGCCGGGGGACGATCCTGTGACCATGTTTGAATGTTTGTTGTTATATATATATATTTTATGTTTCGCCCAGGAACCGCCTGTAGGGGGACATGCCCGACCTAACGTTGAACCTTGAACGCCCGCGACGGGGTCGCCGCGGCGTCAACCCGACGCGAGCCCATCGTGCCCTCAGGGCGACCCCAAGAGGGCCAAGTGGTCCGCACGTGATCTCGACGCGACCTCCGGCAGGCCGCCGGGCAATCCCAGGGTTAAGTCGGGCCTGTCCCTCTACAGGAGGAATATTCAAACATAAACCACAAATAGTCTGGGGACAATTTTAGAGTCTTGTTTGGGTATTTTTTTCGTCCAAAATCCGCCTGTAAGGGGACATGCCCGACTTAATCCCAGGGCGGCCCAACATATTTCAAGGGAGGGAAAACCACCCCGACCCTACAATTGCCACTTACTACATCGGCCCAACGAAAGTTATTTGAATGTTCGTCATGTCGGCCGCTAGCGGAAGCCGACGGAAGTGAAACGAGGCGGAAAACGTCGGAAGGCCGTTGGATGGCTTGCGGAAGACAGTGGAAGTAAATAACGCCTTGCCCGAGCCCCTCTGCCCCATGTAGAAGCCTAGCAATGTAGTCTTTTCCCGTGGGCCAGGCGGGATCCCGCCCAGCTTACTCCTTTTTTGATACTATAATTTTAGTTCAGCCAAGCTAAAATCCCACCCATTAAAAATTGGGTAAACAATTATCCCAGGTCGTCCATGGATCCCGCCATCCTGGGATCGTTTCAAAGTAAGATGCGGCTCCGAACTTGCAGCATTCCTGGCATGTCAGGGTCGTCTTGAGATCATCTTGAGATGCTTGGATCGCGCAGCCGTCGTGTTCATTCTGGGGCTACCCTGGGCGCGCGTGGATCCATCTTGTTGCCATCGTGCCATCTCGGCGTCACTCGTGGCTCCTGTACGGTCTTCTTCGAGTCGGCCTGGGACGGTCAAGAATCCATGGCGGGATCGTGCTGGGGTGGCGTCATCCCAGGGTCGTCTGGACGTTGCCGTCTGTGGCCTGAGGCCCTCTTGGAACCATCTTGCGGCCACGGGGGCGTCTTGGGATCTCACGCGCGCGCGAGTGCGGAGCACGCGCGCGCGACAACTCATGTCGCCGATGGGCGTACACACATATACTTATTGTTGCTAGTTTCCAAGGAAACTTTTGTTGGAGCCAAGTAAACGGCCCTGGGCGTTAACTAAACAGCCCTGTCCTGTTCGATTATTTCCTCGTGCGTTTACGAAACGGTCTCGCTTGTCGGGATGATTATTATGGGGGTGGATGTTAGCCCTCGAATGTTTGCAACGGGCGATCAAGAGATGTCTCTATGACCACGCGATGCCCCCCAAGCGGGCCCCAAGTGGCCCAAGCACTGCCAGAACACGATGCCAGGGCCCCAGCATGGCCCTGACGCGCTCTCGAGAGGGTCCCATGACAACACCGATGCGAAATCCAACTGTGGGATTTGCATCCCGCCCGGGATGTTTTGGGAACCGCGTGTTTCACGGATCCCGCCGAGTGTCCCTTTCTCTTTGCATTGTGGCACAATTCGCTACAACGGTGCCCCCGTTTAGTTAGCCTTCCGCCAGCGCAGATGCTCTGCCTAGGCGCCGACGCAGCAAGTTTTACGGGTGAGACTTGTAATTTCTTGAACTAGAACCATCTATTCTAGAATGCACCAGGGCATCGGGACCCCGGTCAGACCACGCAAGGTGAGTGCCTGGCCAGGCTTCTAGGGGCAGGAATTTCAGTGCCTCCTGAGCACTCGTCACCCTCAGGGCTGCGTTCGTGCTCGTGTTTGTGAGCAAGATGTGCAGTCGGGCGCACTCGCGGACATTCGTCAAGCTCTCGGCGCGGCGGTGTCATCAACGCGAATGTTGCACCCTGACAGTCCTATTCTGAAGCGATCGCAAACCTTTAGAGACGAATCTGCGCGGCGCTAAGCGAAAGCCACAGCTGGACCAAAGAATCGCCCTCCATCCGTGAAGCTCCTGCAGACTTTAATGCGAATGTGCGCGGAGCTACAAAGGAGAGCCACAGTTTGAGAACCACCGACCTCCGTCTGTGAAGCTGGTGTAAATCTTTAAGACGAATGTGCGCGGCGCTGGGCGAAAACCACATAATGAAAAGGAGTTGCCTTCCATCCGTGAAGCGGTTGCAAACTTTTAGCAAGAATGCGCGCGGCGCTGAGGCGACAACGACATTTTGAAGACCACCCGCCCTCCATCCGCGACACTCGTGCAAACTGTTACGACGAGTGTGCGCGGAGCTCAGGCGATAATTACATTTTGAAGACGACCTGCCCTCCATCCTTGAAGCTGCTACACACTTTCCAAACGAATGCGCGCGGCCCTAAGGCGACGAACACATTTTGAAAAGGTGCTGGCCTTTATCTGTGAAGCTAAGGCGAGCGCCACATCTCGAAAACCACCCGCCCTCCATCCGTGAATCTGTTGCACATGTTGAGCTTCATGGTCGCCAGGCGTGAGAAAGTCTCAGGCGAAACGCCCGGCCCGCCCTGCAGACACGCTTCGTGGTGCGACCAGGAGGCGTGATTATGAGGAGAGGGGATGGGGGAGGAGGAGGAGACCGAGGAGGAGGTGCCCTTCTGTGGGAAGGGCACGTCCGAAAACTGCTCGGGCCCCGCCCACGACCAAGAGCAAATCCCGCCGCCGCCGGCGCCTCCCACGGGTTGCGGACTCGCCAGCTCTGCCTCGAGGGCCGACCCAGGCACTCGTGCTGCCCTGCTGTGCCCTGGATGCCCAGATGTCCCGGCGTCCGTCCTGGGCCCTGGGTGGGCTTCCACGGACCGACCAGGCTCGAGGATCCTCCTCCTCCTCCTCCTCTCCTCCTCCTCCTCCTCCTCCTCCTCCTCCTCCTCCTCCTCCTCCTCCTCCTCCTCCTCCTCCTCATCCTCCTCCTCTCCTCCTCCCCTCCTCCTCCTCCTCCTCCTCCTCTCCTCCTCCTCCCTCCTCCTCCTCCTCCTCCTCCTCTCCTCCTCCTCCTCCCTCCTCCTCCTCCTCTCCTCTCCTCCTCCCCTCCTCCTCCTCCTCCTCCTCCTCCTCCTCCTCCTCCTCCTCTCCTCCTCCTCCTCCTCCTCCTCCTCCCTCCTCCTCCTCCTCCTCCTCCTCTCCTCCTCACTCCTCCTCCCTCCTCCTCCTCCTCCTCCTCCTCTCCTCCTCCTCCTCCTCCTCCTCCTCCTCCTCCTCCTCCTCCTCCTCCTGGACCCAAAGATCCCAGATAATTGGATGCCATATTTTTCCGTTCGCGATTGGTAGCGACCGATCGGCACTCTAAGAATCGGTCGCGGTCGATCGCGACCGATTTATCGACTCCGTCGCGACTGGTCACGACTGATCGGTCGCGGCCGATTTTGAAACAGATCGGTCGCGACCGATATGGGCATTTGAAACAAAATAGGTAGCGACCGATCTCGTCGGTCGTTACCCAGAAACTCTAGCATCCAGTTGTCAGGGATGGGGTCGAGAGTTCCGGTCGTGGCGTCTTCGGCGGCCGCCGGGGAGCTGTACGGTACCGGGGTCCGGAGCCCGCAAATTGCCAGGGGCACCCGCAGAGCGTCTGGAGGGTCTCGGTGCTCCGCCGTTGCCGCCTGCGGGGCCTGGTCAGACCATGCGTTTGCACGGGCGGGCGCCATGGACGTGGAGCCTCTTTCAGAGGCCCGGAAGTTGGCACCAACACCAAGATCGGCAGTGTGCCTCCACCGGGGGAAGCTTATCCCAATCTCTGTGATCTTGGTAATGCTTGGGCTTCCTGGGGGGCCGAAAGATAAAACACCAACACCAACATCTAGGATCATCCTCCCCCGATGGAAGAAACCCCCTGCTCTGGTGTCGGCGTCCATCTCCAAGCCTCCAGCTCTTTTTCCTCCCCCGGATTCCCCGGCATCCTTGGGCGGTCGTGCAAGCGCAGGGCTACTTGGCCAGGCGCACTCGGATGACCCGAAGCTGCGGGGCCCTGCCCGTGGCAACGGTCCTCCGCAGCCGGCTCCTCCCTTCTGTCCCTCGTCGCTTGCTTGCGCGCTCGTGCGTCGTCGCCGTCGCTCGTCTGCGGCCCCCGCCCGGCCGCTCCCGCGAGGCCCTCATCAAGCGGTGCGGCTCCCTCTACGGCGCGTGGCGGGAGGCCCGCGGTCGCCGTTCGCCGGGGGGGTTGGCGGCCTGCACCGGCGGCAGCGCTGCGCGGCCCGCGCGGTGCCGTCCCCGGGGCGCGCGGTGGACCCCGACTCTCCCGAGTGCCAGAAAACAGGCCTCCAGACCTATGGCCCTGCATACCTGGCTCGACAGGAATGTAGACGTCGAGGTCCTGGTGCTATTTTTCAGCCCTGCTGGAGGGTCAGGGGAGTGGGGGGGGAGGCAGCGGCCTCCACGGGTTCCGGTGGGCGGCGGGCAGCGGCTCCAGTGTGCATCAGGCAGTGCCGAAGCGTCCGGGCTTGCCTGTTCAGGCCCACCAGGGAGTGTTCTGATTTGTGGTTTGCACGAAGTGCTCTTGCAACAGTTCTGGCCGAGACCGTCTTGTGTCAAGACATCGGCTTCATATTCTAAGAACAGCTTTCACAACCATCCTGCGGGGTTGGGCACTCTGTTTGAAGAGAGCGCCCCGCGTCTTTCCTCCTTCCTGAGCCGATGTCCTGCCGTTGCGTCGCCATCGCCAGACTAGGCATCGACGCAGCACTGGCGACCACTACTCTTTCTGTTCATAGCGGCCGCGAGGCGCCCCTCCGACGTGCTTGAGCGCGCGCGCACACGCCGAATGCCAGCCACTCGAGCAGGCATGCGACGGAGAGGAAGAGGGACAGGGACAGGGGGGAGAACGAGGAGGAGGGGGAACTCACGTAACGGCACCAGCCAGGGAGCCCGCATGCGGCCGCAAGCCGTTTTCAGCACACACTTCACACGGATCGTGCCCCGTGCAGAGCTGCACCCGCGGCACCAGTGAGGGCGCCCATTGCGGCATACACTTCACACGGATCGTGCCCCGCTGGGGGGTTCAGCGTATTTCTGCGCGCTTGGTTGTCCTGATCCGCACTGCTCTGCTATCCGTCCCTCTCACGGCGCAGGGTACACAGCTGAGGGCCGCGCCCTGCACCACACGCAGCTGCACAGGACTGGCCCCTTCGACAGGCTGAGTATTTTTGATCCCCTCCATGCGCTCCCGCGTCGGTGTTGGCTGCATTTTTGGAACGCGGTACTCGCTCTCACACCTGGCGAGCATGCAACAAAGGTGAGCAATGCCAACATGTTTTTCGCTTCTCAGCGCGATTTGCGCATGCGTGAGGGACAGAGAGAGAGAGAGGATAGGGGGGATAGAGAGAGAGAGAGAGCGAGAAAGCCCGAACTCATCAGCCACAGCAGCGCGGGATAGGGGGGATGGCGAGGGGGAGGGTGCGGAGAAGGATACGGTGGAGGAGGGTCAGCAGCAGCAAGGTCAGGAGGGGTAACAGGAGGAGAGGCGTCCGTTTCAGCTTGTTGGCCTTTCGTTCCAGCAGGCCCTCTAGTTCTGAGAGTTCGATTGGTGGCCTTTCGCCAGGGGGGGCGATGCACAATTGCATATGGTAGTCCAGTAGTGAGGAGGGCGCCGAACATATGCGACATGTGATTGTGCCTTCTCTGATCCAGTTGGCCCATCAGACAAGAGACCAGAGTGCGCCCCCCATCGGACATCTCATTTCCTGGTGGTCCTGGGGAGCCATTTCGGTTTTGGGTCTCTCAGACGCTTCATGTCGACGACACATGCATGCCCAGAGTTCCTTTAGCAGGACCCATTGTCGTTCGCATCTACTGTATGTGCCCCCACCTGCTCTGCTCCCGGTTTCGTTCCCAGTCTGGCGCACATCGCGCGCGCGCCCACGGCCGTTGCGGAGGCGCTGGACCTTGACGGCAACGGGCGCCTGACATTCGGAGAGTTCTGTCAGGGTTTGCAGCGCCTCGGGATGTTTGGCGAGATTCGGGGGCTCTGGAAGCAGCTCGACGTGAATGGCCACGGCTACATTTCCTTCAAAGACCTCGACGCGGACACAGACGCCGCTCTGCAGGAGTTCCGGGAAAAGCTGGTGGAGAAGTACGGGAACATGCTGAAAGCTTGGATGAAGGGAGTCGATGTTAAAGGGACTAATTGTGTTAATGAGGCTGCCTTTCTCAAAGCATGTGAGACGGTGGGATTCTCTGGCGACGCCAAGAAGCTCTTTCGGGTGCTGCAGCCAGATGCGAGCCGGAAGTATCTCACCTTGAAGGATTTTGACACTCCAGCCTATCAGGCTCTCAGCAGAGCAGATTTCCGAATGATCAGCGAAGAAAAAGGGGAGAAAAAGAGTTTGGTTAACATGTCGTTCGATGAGAGGCAGGAGGCCGGATTCTTCTACCAGATCCGGAAGGCCTGGGACGCAGCGCACCGCGATGAGTTCCAGAAGGCTTGCAGGTATAACAACAAGGAGTTCCAAATCGACACGTCCGAGGAGTTCGAGAGCCTGTGCCGGAGGAAATTCGGCTCGATGACCGCCGCTTGGCGGCAATGCTTGGACACCGACAACAATGGGAAGCTCACTTTTGGCGAGTTCTGCAACGCGTTGCGGCGGTCTCCCGGGGCCCCTTAATCGGTCTCTCTCTCTCTGTGTATTTATAACTGCGTGTATCCGTAAGGGGTTCGCCCTCTGCCGCGGGTCCCCTTTCCACCATATTAGAATGTGCAGGAGCTGTGTTAGGATGCCTTGGTCGCCGTGGTGCAGCAGCACCGAAACTTTGCGCGAGGACGCTTGGTAATCGTCCAGGCACATTGGTATCCATATGATTTTGTTGAACTCTGTGTCGCCTTTTTCGAACTTCCCCTCATGCTGTGTATCGGAGGCCCTCTCGGAACGACTGGGTAAAATCGTGCGGCTTGGACGGTCCTTAGGCTCCTCGGCGTTTTTTTGTTTTTTTTCTTTCGCAAGGCCGTTGTTTCTGAGACGCGGATCTGGCGCAATTCATTGGGAATCTTTGCCTCGAGGGCGCGTACACGGCGTAATTCACCAGATATCGTGGTCTTGGCGCGAACATGCCGTAACCTACACAGGATCGTGGCCTCTGAGGCGCGACTACGGCGTACTTTACAAGGGACCGTAGCCTCGGAGATGCGAAGATAGAGTCATTTACGAATGCTCGTGGCCTCGTGGACGCGACCATTGCGTAATTTACTCGGGTTCTCGGCCTCGGAGACGCGACCTCGGAGACGCGACCATGGTATAATTTTTCAGGGATCGTGGCCTCGGGGGCACGAATCTTGTATAATTCATTGTTGATCGATGCCTCAGGTACACGAACATGGCGTGATTTACCAGCGATCGTGGCCTCGGGGACGAGAACACAACAAACATTGCGAGCGAACGTGGCTTCGGGAACGCGCCTACAGCGTAAGATGCAAGCGATCGTGGCCCCGGGTACGCGAATGTTGTATAATTTACCATGGATGATGGCTTCGGATACGCGAACATGTTGCAATTTGCTAGAGATCGAGGCCTCGGTGACGCGAACATTGTGTTCTGATGGATCTTGGCCTCGGAGACGTGCAGATTGTTCAATTTACATAGGAGCATGGCCTCGGGAACGCAGATAAGGCTTTGTGTACGTGCGATCGTGGCATCGGGTACGCGAATTTTGCGCAATTTCTTAGTAATCGTGGCCTCGGAGACGCGACGATTGCATCATTTACAAATGATGGTTTTGCTCCGGAAAGTCTCATACTGGGTCATGTGCAAGGGAGCGTGGCCTGGGGGGCGCGACTACGGCAGTTATAACTTACGAGGGATCGCAGCCTCGGGGGCGCGACTCTTGCTTACTTCTACGTGCACCACGGGCCCGCAGGAATTCAGAGCACGCGACTTGGGCGCGGTAAAACGCTGGTTTGGGGCTCCCCCCGTCACGCGGACTTCAACAGGTCACAGTAAGAATCAGTAGAAAGTATAAAGTCGAACTATATCCCGGGAGACTTGAAATTGGTATTGTAGCATGGAGCCGCAAGCCTAACCCCCCCAGTTTGATGGCCCCACAGGGGGGCTCGCGGATATGTATGTATGTATGTATGTATGTATGTATGTATGTATGTATGTCTGTGTATGTATGTATGTATGTATGTATGTATGTAGGTAGTTAGGTAGGTAGGTAGGTAGGTAGGTAGGTAGGTAGGTAGGTATGTGTGTGTATGTATGTATGTATGTATGTATGTATGTATGTATGTATGTATGTATGTATGTATGTATGTATGTATGTATGTATGTATGTATGTATGTATGTATGTATGTGTGTGTATGTATGTATGTATATATATATATATGTACGAGACTGCATTGGCGATTCGCGCCATGCACCTTGGTCCTTGAAGTCTGGCATGCAGACGGAATGGCAGGAAGGTCAAACCAACAATTTAGAGATAACTCCTTGTCGCATTGTCTGGCATCGCTGTTCCAAGAATGTTACTCGTTATCCTTCCTCCATGTTGCTTTTTCTTAATTCTCGCCCCACCATGCGAATTCTTCCCCATCCTCCTCAGCTCTTTTTGCGGAGGCTCCTCCTTGAGGGACTCAGGGGGCCTCACGGAAGTTTTTCAGGTTTTCTTCTTAGGGCCTTTTGGACGCTTCCTGGGCGTCTTCTGGTGGCCTCGCCTCTGGGGGGTCCTCGGGCCACCTTGTCTCCAACTGCGGTCTCCCTGAACGACCGGGTCACGATTTGGAATGCTTCAGAGGGTATCTTGGGGCCATTTTGGGCCGTCATGGGGCTCTCTTAGTCTATCTTGGAAACCTGTTGTGCTGTCTTGGGGCTCCCTTGGACTGCCTGGAAGCCCTTTCGGATGGTTCTGGGGCGATTGTCGAGCCTCCCAGGCGGTCTCGGACGCCCAGAAGACAGAAAAACAGAGCATTACCAAAATCATGCGAAAACCTTGGAAAATCAATGGCTCAGCGTCTGCCGACAGAGAGAGGGAGAGAGACAGAGAAAGAGAGAGACGCAGCGTCTGCGAGGCTTGTTTAGGAGCGGCGGCGCAGCGACGCGCCGCGCTAGACTGCCGGGGAGTCTCCCGGAGCACCTTGTCCCACCGTAAAGTATTTTACGTGTGCCCCCCTCCGTTTCTCTTCATCCTCCTCCTGCTTCCTTCCTATTATCCCGTCTCCTCCTCCTCCTGTCTGCTCGATCCGAGGCGTCTGGGTGCCTGAGCATCGGCTCGCGGCGCCGGCAGGCGAGGATTTTTCGACCAAGTTAGCTTCCAGCTTCCAGCTTCTCGTCCTGCGTTCGTTGGGGCGTGCCCCAAGCAGCGGGTGTAGTGTCCCCCACTGGTGGCTTCCAGCCGCAGCCGTGACACACTGGAGGGACTGTCCAATGGCGGCACGCTCGCAGGCATGGCAGTTTGGTCAGTGGTCCTCCTCCTGCCGTCTCCTCCCTCTTCCCCCCTTCCCCCCCTCCTCCCCCCCTCCTCCCCCCCTTCCCTCTGCATCAGAATGATCGTGCAGGCGCGCGGCGCCCTGTTGCGATGCGACACCTCCAGGCTGGGATACGTCGGCAACTTCAAGAAGCTGTGGAGCGAGTACGACAAGGACAAGAAGGGCGTCATCCTCATGTCCGACCTCGATGCCGAGGCACTGGCCGGCGGGGCCGAGTGGCGCCTCCCTCTCCACGGGCAGACCGTTCCCCTTCGCTTGGGCCCTCCACCTCCACAGGTTTCGTTTTTTCTGCCCGTAATGCTGGAGCCCTGGGTGGCCCTCAGCCTGCCTTACTCCGCGTACTGAAGTCCTTCAGTTGGCAAGCGAACGTTAGCATCATCACATGTCTATCCTCGACGACCGAGTGGCAGCAACTTAGTTTCCGGTGACAGGTGTAGCTCCCGCCGCACAGTTCAAGTCTTCGGACGCTTGCTATATGCCTTGCTCGCGCCTCCCAACTCGTCGCCGATGACCAGCGACCTGTCCCTTGAAGGCTCAGCCCGCATTCATGTCGGATCATGTGTGCGCTCTGATTGGGACCGTTTCGAATGAGGCGCCCTGCTTGAACCCCAGGCGTTGACAAGTGGGGTGTGGTGTATCGGGAGAGCGAGAGGTGGCGTTGGCTGTTGTGCTGGTTCCGCTCGTGTGCTCCGATGGGGTCTGGCGCTGACCGCTCGTGGGCCGTTGCTCGCCCGAGGCAGACTCACTGATCAGGTCCTTCCTGGCCCTCCTGTCGGAGAAGTTCGGGGACCTGGACAGGGCCTGGCAGGAAGGCTTCCACAAGGACCCGCACGACAGCATAGACATCTCGATGCTGAGGGAGGCGGCGGTTGCGATGGGCTGGGAGGGCAACGTGGAGACGGGGCACGAGCGAAAGCGTCAAGGGTTCGGATGCCAGCTTTCCGGAAGAAGGGCTCCTTGTCTTCGGTGTGGGGAGGATGATTTTCAGGACGGCAGTCCCCCCCCATCCAGTACTTGGACCATATATATTTTGTTATATATATATATATATATATATAGATTCGAGCCCTCACACACTCGAGGGGGATGTTCATCACCCCCCCGGCGCCCGAAGTCAATGTTGATTTCAGCATGGTTGGTGGTTCGGGGGTTCGAATATTTCTGTCCACGCATGCCCTCTCCATCTCCGCACCCTCGGTGTCAGGTTTCGGGGGTCCTGCGGAGGGGGAGTCCTGCGCCGCAGGGTTCGAACTTCTCGCCCACGCACGGTCCCCCCCTGGACCTCCCAGCAGGCGGGCCCCTGGCCCGGGCCCCCTGCGCTCGCTGCCGATCGGGGGCGGCCACCAGGGGGTGATGACTGGAGAGGGGGGGTGGACATCACGGCTGGGGCCAGGACATCTCCCCGCATGCCATGGCCAGCCCCCTTGCACTGCGTCTCCTGGCCCCCTTTGGGCCGCGCAGCGGGCTCGGGCCCTGATGTGCGGGCCCCCCCCCTCTCGGACGCCCCCGAGCCGAGGAGACGCTGTTCAAGAACCTTCAGCCCATGCCGGGGCGGGTCCTGATCAGCATCTGGGACCTCGACCCGAACTGCTCGCGGAAGCGGCAGCGGGGCGAGGTCGCCCACATCAGCCCGAAGGACCCCACGGAGGTGCGCCTCCACAAGAAGAAGTTCGGGGAGAAGGACAGCGGCCCCGGGCTCGGCACCAGCCCGTCCCCGCGACCGGATCGCCGATCGCGTGCTCTCGGCTGGGTCCCCTGCCGCCCTGGCGCCCGAGCCCGCAGCAGCGGGCTGCGAGGCCGGTCGGAGAGTGCCGTTCTGCTCTGCTCGGGGCCGTGGGCGGGCGGCATGCACCGGGGCCCCCCACGGGGGCCGCCTCGCAGGTTCCCGCAGTGGCTCTCTCTGTCATTGCCAGGCGCGCCCGCTCGCACTGCGAGTGCCCCTCGGGCCTGGCGTTCAGGCGGGAACCCCGTCTCGACAAAGGGCCGCCCTCAACCCCTGCGGCTGTCAGCGAGGCCAAGATGCGGGATCGTGCGGTTCAGCAGCGTGTCGGGTGAAACGCTCACTCCTCTCAGAACGGGGTCTCCCGGCCCCGTTCTGCCGAGGAGCCGCCCTCCTTCTGCAGTTGCTGCACTGTGGGCATGGCAGTGATTTTTAAGCGAGAGCCCCACTTCACGAATGAGCTGCTTTCCAGTCCCGTAGCTGTTGCACATCTGTCAGTGTCCCTCCGTAAGATTGAACGAATACTGAATCGAGATCCCATGCTGAAAAGGTCTCGCCCTGCTTCCGCTGCTAACTTTCAATACGCATGCGCGCGGTGCTGAGTCCAGAGACACATGCTGAAACCGACTCCCAGTCCGTGCTGTCTTCCATCACTTTGAACGAGTGTGCGTGGCGCTTAGGTCAGAGAGGCGATTGAAATTACATCCACATGCACCCCATCCGTGTATATTGATCATGAACAGCATGATCAAATTCCATCAACATGTTTTGTTGCGAGCTTGCATCGATTTGCATCTATATAGATACAGTGAGGAAGTCTCAGGCGAGATGCTCGGCCCGCCCTGCCTACACGTCTGGTGGTGCGACGAGGCGGAGTTGTCCATGTGGAAGAAGTATTTGGGATGAGCGGGAGGAGGCGCAGGACGAGGAGAATGATGGGCGTCGCTGATCTTTGTTGCCTCACCGTCACGCTGTATCTCGATCCAGACGGCGCGCGCTTCTGCTGCGGATGGAGAGTGAGCTCGACGTCGTTGGCACGATACAGAGCACCAAAACGTTGACCCTGCTGATGCAGGCCGAACTTCTGTGTGACATACTTTCAGGCACTACGCTCGTGTATGTTTGATCGCAGTTGGCTGATCCAGGAATTCGGAGCCTTTGTGTTCTGCAAGTGGCCAGTGCCACTCAGTTGACAGTGGGCACGTCAAATAACACACTGGCCTGCCAGCAGGCGCCCCACGGAAAGTATTGACGCCTCGCGTGTCCCACCACATCCCCGAGCCGACCCGTGACGCCGCCGGCGCCTTCGCTTGCGGTTGCGACAAAAAAGTATCCCACCACATTCTTTCAGTTCGGCACCCGCCTCATCGGGGTCCTTCGCCGCTGTGAGGTGCCCTCCGCGCCTTTTGGCCGCGCTGAGCTCCGTCCCGCTCGCTGCCTAGCGTAGCTCGCATCTCTGTTTTTCCTTTGCCGGTGACACAGCCTGCCCCTGCATGCCCGGCGTTCGACCCGCTTCGCGCGCCCGCGTGCCAAAAACTATCCCACCACACCATCCAGAAGCAGATCGCCAGGCGAGTTGTTTTGATCAGGGAAGTGTAGACGCATGCAGTGTAACAACCGCCTTGGAAGTGTTTCCTCGGAGGTTTCTTGGAGCCGTCTTAGGCCTCTCTTGGGGTCCTCGCGGAGCCACTTGGGGCACCCTGGAGGCCCTCTTAGGGCTCTTCTGGGGGTTCTAGGGGGCCTCTTGGGGCTCTTTGGGGGGGACTGGGGAGCCTTTTGGGGCCGTCGTTGGCCCCATGGCTCAATAAGAGGGGGGTCATAGATTCAGTTTCTCCCCTCGGAGGCTTACAAATGCACAGTGACCGCACCGTGGCACCGCTCCTGCTTTGTAGCCGGCACGCCGCTAAACCGTTGCATTTTATCGGCGCAGCGGCCCCGATACGCCCATATGCCGATTCAGTCGATCGGCGTTGCAGAGCCGATACGCCGATATATCGATTCGGTATATCGGCGCCGCTGAGCCAATATGCCGATATGTTGACCCAGTGGAAATTGGCATATAGACGTATCGGCTCAGCGGCGCCACTTGCCTCGACCGGCGTATCGGTTCATCGGCCTATCGGCGTATCGGTTCCGAGGGGCTGATGGCCGTGATCGGCGTATCGGTGCATCGGCATGTCGGCTCCTGGGCGCCGACCCGGTGCATCGGTTCATCGGCATCAATTGCAGCGTTTAGAATTCAGCCTCTCTCCCTCAGTACGACTTCCAGTTTTACAGGATCCGTGGTAAGGACTCTTGTAGCATTTACCTTTTAGAAAGGATCATTCCAGCGAGATAAGGGTGTTTTTTTATGATATATATAAGGGGTCCTTAGTAGTGAGGCCCCTCTCAGTAAGGAGTCCTTTGAAAGGATGCCTTTCGTGAGGATCCCGTAGGAAGGACCCCCTTTAACAAGGATCCTTGTTAAGGATATTTGTAGTTTGGGTTCCCACAGCCAGGTGCCCCGCAGCACGGATTCTTCAGTAAGGCTTCTTCTGCAAAGGATTATTTATGAAAAGGTGTTTTTGTTGTAAAGGATCCTTAGTTAAGGGTTCCTGTAGGACGGGGTCCTTCATAAGCGTTCCTTCGGTACGCGATCGCTAACAATGATGCCTGTCGTGGTGGAGCCAGCAATGACAAGGACACTTTTTCGTAAGGAGCCCGTAGTAAGGACGCCTGCAGTAAGGATCCTTTCAGTAAGGGCCATTGTAGTAAGGGGCCCTTAGTACTGAGTCATTCCGCCTTACCTTCTTCGTAAGATTATACAGTCAAGGGTCCGCCGTAAAAAGGTTGATTTGGGAGGGGACCCTTAACACGGACTCCTTTGGTCCACAATGTTGTATACAAGGGTCCCGTCACTTCACCACCTTTCGCATGGATCACTGTAGTGGGGTATCCCTCGTTGGGGCCCCTTTGAGGAGGAGCCTTGACAAGGATCCCTGTGAATTTCTGTGTCCTCAGCAGAATGCCTACAGTTCGGATTCCTTCAGTACGGAACTCTGCAGTACGATGTCCTTCGCATCATTATTTCTTATAATCTGCAGTCACGAGCCGTAAGGGGTTCTTATTGAGGACCCCTTGTAAAGAGGAATCTCGCAGTCAGGGGACCTTGATTGCAGAGTCCTCCACAGGGATCCATTCAGTAAGGAATCACTCGTAAGGGACCCTTTTGTAAGGGCGGTCATTCGGAAGGCTTCCTTTAGTATGGGTCCCCTCAGTAAGGATGCCTGTAGCGAGGATTTTGTTCACACAAGGCTTTCTTTAGGAAGCATTCCGGGCAGTGTTCCTCTAGCAACGGCTTTTTCAGTAAGGGTCTCTCTAGTAAGGGTCCACAGAAAGAGGTACTGTTTCTTTTCCGGGCCTGAAAGGAAACACTCGGGGCTCGTGGATTCAGGGGGTTCGTCGCTTCACCCTTGAAACCTTCCCCCAAGGCCAGATACACCCCTCCTGTGCCATACAGGGAATCAATGTGTACTCCTCCTGCAAATGTAATACATATTCACATACACACACATCTATAACTATACAGATGAAACCGGTCACGCGGAGAATCGATATGCAAATCCCCCGCATTGCCGAACACGCATTGTGCAAATTGATAAAGGAACAGTTCCAGAACAAATTTCAAAACCCACATACCCGTCATGTCCCCGAAGCCCATCTTGTCACCCCGAGCCGATCTCTTCGACCCCGAGGGCCCCCACCCCCCCCTGTTCTCACAACCCCCCATAAGGATAGCTGCAGATCTCCAGTTGCGCAATGTTGGGATCATTGATTCCGTGGTCCTCCTCTTCCTGCCCCTCTCCCTCCCCTCTTCCCCCCCCCTCACCACCCTCCCCTCCCTTCCTACCCTCCCCTCTACAATTACACAATATGAAAATACTCTCCCACTTCCCCTGATGGCGTCCGGAAGATATTCGGCACCCCCCCGCGTACTGTTTTTTTACACAGGATTCCCCGGAGTTGGGTTTTCGCTTGTGTTTTTTTCTAAAATGCTGCTCTCGCTGAGGCGCCGGCCTCATTTCTGCTCCCGAATCGTTCCGAATCGTGCTCCCGCTGCAGCGTGGGCCTCATTTTCGGATCGGTGTTTGGCCTCCGTCGTTGAGGATGGCGTTCTCGCCCCAGCGCGGGCCTCTTTCTCGCGCGCCCATCCGCCCGCCACCACCGCGCCGCACCACCACCACCACCACCACCACCACCACCACCACCACCACCACCACCACCACCACCACCACACCAGCACCAGCACCAGCACCAGCACCAGCACCACACCCACCCACCAGCACCACCACCACCACCACCACCACCACCACCACCACCACCACCACCACCACAACCACGCACACACGCACGCACGCACGCACGCACGCGCACCACCACCCACTACGCACGCGCGCGCGGAGCCACAGGTCCGCTACGACACGCGTCCGCGGATAGAGAAAATCAGCGCCATGGTAAGGGATGGGAGGGAGGGGTAGGACGTCAGATATGACGCGAGCGCACCTAGCTTGTTCTCCCCCCCTCCCCTCCCTCCCTCTCTCCCCCCTCTTCCTCCCCCTTCCCCCCCTCGCCTCCCTCTCTGCCCCCCTGCCCTCCCTCCCCTCTTTCTCCCCCCTTTTTCCCCCCTTTCGTTCCGCGATCCCTTCCCGCCTCTCCTGCCCTCGGTTCCTCCAACCATCCCCGTTCCGCATCTCACTCCCTACCTCCCTCTCCCTCCGGTTCCTTCTTCCATACCTGCCCCTCCTCTTTCCATCCTCATCCTCCCTCCTTGTTTCTTCCTCCCGATCTCCATCCTCATCCTCCCTTCTTCCTCCCTCCTCCCTATCTCCCTCTCCCTCCTCCCCTTCTTTTATGCCCGCTTCCCGATCGTTCGGTTTAAGCAGAGCAGTGGGAAACGATATGAGGGATGAGTTTGTGCAGTTTGGCGCACATCCGCCCGAGTATGGTTGCAAGGAATGTCGATGTGGTCCCATGGCTGGTAAGACGACGCGGGAAAGTGTGCAGGACTGCGTATCAGATTGTGCGTTGTGTTCAAGGCCGGGTCACGTTACCGTAAACGTCTACCCTCGGCTCGCACGGTGGGCTTAGCCAGCACATGCAACCATTGCATGCAATGCGTTTGGTATGGGGTTAGTTGGACGCATGTCCACACACGCAGCATAACAACATGCTGGAGGATGGCGCATTTCAGTATGAGTGGCCTGCTGGTATGCGCGTTTGCACGACACAGCTCGCGTCAGCTTCAGTGGCGCCTACATCTCGAAATAAGCATAGGCGTGATGTCGTTTAAAGTGTGGCATCACGTAAGCGCGAACAACGCTTGCGATAGTTCCTCCACGCCTGACAGACTTTATTGAGCGATGATGTGTCAAGGCGGGCAGAGCCCAGCAATCAAACATCTCATTCAACACATGCATTGAGGCAGGCCGACACTGGTGGCCGCATCAGCATCACCATTATCATTTCAGCAACACGCCGCGTATTGGATTATGCACGCTTGATCGCGAGACGCTTGCAAGTACGTGCGAGAGCTGACATGCCACTTATTCGTTGCGACGTTCTACAGCAAGCTGTACTGGTCGACGTGCGTAGTGCTGCCAATTGGTCCTCTCGCCGAAGACACGGCGAAACGTCACATACCCGAGGTTTCAGTGGCAGATCAACCATATGGGGCCCTTACCACAATTCACGCGGCAACGGTTCGATACTCGCAGTGGCGTCGTTGGCGAGATGATTGACGTAAGGAGGCGGTGTCTTGAGAGAGGTGCTGCGGCACTATTGGACGTTACCCTGCAGGTAGGGGAATCCCAAGGAAGTGGCAAGCGAGGAGGGGTGGGAGGGCGGATATGGCGGCGAGGGGCAGGAGGCAGGAGGTGTGCGGGACGGGGCAGATGGGGGAGAGGAGAGAGGTGGGGGGGAAGCGGACGTGGGAGACGAAAGGTGAGGCGTAGTGACGGGAATGGGCGGTGAGCGAGGGAGGAAGTGCGAAAGGGGGCGGGCCTTCTCAGAAGGCTCGGAAGTCCCCCGACCCTCTGGGAAGTTGTCTAAGCTTTCCCCGAAGGCACAGAACACTTTTCACAAGGCACGAGGGCTTCTGAGAAGTCCCGCCGCCTTCTGCGATCGCAGATCGTTCCCCCCCCCCCCTGCCCCCGACTTTTGGACAGCAATGAACCGCTCAGAAAAGGAGAGGAACCCTGGGATACCCCTAGGGGGCTATTCGGACGCACCCCTATCGAGGATGGACGCTCCCCCCATCGTATGTCCCAGGCTTGGGCCCTTAAATTTCTGGTCCACTCGAAAACCCCACGAAGCCTGGGACTGGGGTCGGCACATCCCCTGCTATGAGAACGCCTTCTCCTTCTCACCTCCCCCTCTCGCATCGCAGCCGAGAGAAGGGATGGGGTGCGGCCAGGGAGATGTTGCGCAGCGAGACCGTCGGCAGCGGACCCGTGCGGCCCTCGGGGAGCGCTCCGCGCGCCCGCCGCGGGCGCGCCGCGGCGCCGAGGCCCCCAGGAGACCACGCTCCGGCAGGGCATCCCGCTGATCCAGCAGATGCGGGCCGCTCTCAGGAGACGGCGGGTGAGCCTTCAAGCGAGCAGGCGGCGGCGAGCCCCTGGGGGGGGGAGCGGGAGGGGGGCGGTCGGGGCTCAAGAGGCGGGGGTTAATGCAGACGGGGGTCCGTCAGAGCGCCGGATCTTGCAGGATCTTGCTGAACCAGGGGTGCACTGACCCAGGCTTGGGTGAAGGATCCTGCATGATCATGCAAGGCCTGACTGACCCGGGTCTGGATTGACCTGGGTCACGGGATCCCCGAGGGCGGAGGTTTGCAGAAGGCTAGGAAGTCCACCTGCCTTTTGAGAAGTTGCCCAGGCCTTACGCCTTACCCGCAGACCCAGAAAACAACTGTTCGGAAGGCCAGAGGGCTTCTGAGAAGCTCCGCCGCCTTCTGAGAGGGCCTTCTCCTTCTCATTTCCCCCCCTCGCTCGCCGCCGAGACAAAGCGTCGTGGCGCAATCATGGCGCGGTTCTTTTCGTTTTGCTTCCGTCCGTGAAGCGTGTGCCCCCCCATAGACGATCTGAGGCGAGACGCTTCGGGCTCGCACCCGCCCACCCTGACATGCTGAACACAGCAAAGCACGGTCCCGCAGGTGTGTTGTGTGCCTTCTCCTGCCCTCCACGCTCATCAATGGGATTGGTGTGCTGTGTGACCGATCGATGGTAAGAGCATCGTCTGATCTTCGGTCCAGCATCACTACCAACGGATCACTTCTAGGGGCGCTGGTTCTCTGGACTGCCAATCTAGGGCAGAAGGCTCGGAAGAGCCAAACAGCGGCGCAGTAGGAGGCCCACGATGCGCGCGAACAGAAACACCCAAAACGAGCCAGCGCCGAGGTGGGCCCGAGGTGGCCCAGAGAGGCATCTGGTCTGACGGTCCCCATGTTTGGCCCGAGCCCCGTCCGACCATCCTCCATTTGTCAGGCCCACGCTGGAGTTGGCGTTGGCTTCGTGGTCGTCGTAGGTCAAGATGGAACACTGTCCGTCGCCGACCCAAGAAGCCCGCGCGAGCCAGCGAGAGCTGGAAACCACGCTTGTGCCGCTGCTGCTGCTGCTGCTGCCGTGATGGTGGGGGATGCCGACCCTTCGGGGGCGTCGAAGTGGGGGGTATAAGGCCTCGAGTGTGTGTGTGTGTGTGTGTGTGTGTGTGTGTGTGTGTGTGTGTGTGTGTGTGTGTGTGTGTGTGTGGGGGGGGGGCATCATGGCCGGGACCATGATATCTCCCCGACCTCGTGGCCCCGTGCTTTTCTTTCGGCACACCCCCTGGCCCCCACTCGTCCGCGCACACGCCTCGGGCCATGATGCGCACCCACCACCGGGCCCTGCCCCAGACGCCTCCCAGCAGACACCTACTCCCCGTCGGAGGATGGGGAGCCGCTCCCCCCCCGCCCTCCCCCCTCCCTGCCTCCCTCCTGCCTGGCCTCCCTCCTGCTCTGCCTCCTGCTGCCGCCCCTCCTTCTCTGCAGTGCTGCTGCTCCTCCCTCCCCTCCCTTCCCCCCCCCTCCCCCTCCCCCTCCCCTCCCCCTCCCCTCCCCTCCTTGTTTCTCCCCTGCCCTCCTCCCTCCTCCCCCCCTCCCTCCCTCCTCCCCCCTCCCCTCCCCCCCTCCCTCGCTCCTCCCCCCCTCCCTTCCTCCTCCCCCCTCCCCACCCAAACCGCCGACGCGCTGGCCTCCCCCCTTCGGCGCACCCGCCCCCTCTGCTCCCGCTCCCGCCGCCCGCCCGGAGGAAGACGTACGGGTCCACCGCCGCGGCGTGGTGCGGCGCCCTGGACCCCTCGCTCACGAACCAGGCGCTGACGGGGGGCAGGGGCCGAGGGCCCGCTCGTGCCCGCTCCCCTCCCGCGCTGGGGGCGGAGCGGGAGGAGCAGGAGGAAAGGGGGGGGGGCGGGGCGCGGGCGGAGGAGGGGGAGGGTGGGGTCGGGGCACTGGGGGGGGGGGAGGGAGGATGGGGGGGAGGAGGAGAGTGGAAGGGGAGGGGGGGGGGAGGAGGCGAGCCAGGTGCGCTCGCGCCTGATCTGGCAGCCTGTTCTTTTGTCCCATCCCTTGTCCCTTCGCACGCCGCTGATTTTTCATTATCCGCGGACGCGAGTCATAGCCGACCTGCGATAGGCGCAATCGAAAAAGGGGAACTGCGTGAGGAGGAGGAAGAGGAGGAGGAGGAGGAGGAGGAGGAGGAGGAGAAGGGTGAGCAGGAGGAGGAGCGGCAAGAAGAGGATGAGGCCGAACAGCAGCAACAGGAACTGAAGCGGAAGGATAGGGAGGAAAAGGAGAACCAGGGGAAGGCAGAGGAGAGGAATTGAGGGGCGCGGCATCGATGAAGAAAGACTCGGATTGAGAAAAGTGGCCCGCGCTGGGGCGAGACAAGTAGCACCAGCAGGAACTGGAGTGGAAGGAGCAGGAGGAACAGGAGGACCGCGGGAAGGCGGAGGAGTGGAAATGAGGGGGGGACCACAATGAAGCAAGACGCGGATCCATACAAGTTGCCCGCGCTGGGGCGAGAGCGCCATTCTGAAAGACGGGAGCAAAGCGCCGATCCGAAAATGAGGCCCACGCTGCAGCGGGAACGCCATTTTGAAACACTGTAAACGATCGGACTGTAATTACATTAAACACAAAACGCTTCTGAACGAAAAACGAAGTTTAAGTCTGCGTGTTCAAAACAACAGCATGCGGAGGCGGCGGGGGGGTGTCTGCATCCCTTTCTGCCGTCGTCTTCAATTTCATGATCTCTTTTCCTCCTTCTCCATCTCCCCCTCCTCGTCTGTCGCATTCAACCCTCATAGTTCTTACAGATCCCGCCGGTGATCCTATAGGAGCGGTGCTCCAGGGGTTACCTGGCCTTGGTTTGATCACCCCCCCAGGGTGAGCCGGGCCCTGGAGGGGCGTGTGTGACGATCGACGATGTCTCTAGTCAGCAGGAACCTTGGGATGCTACGATCGACGAGGCTACGATCGACGATCGACGATGGAACCTGTTTGCGATCGACGATGCTACGATCGACGATCGAATCGGGAGGACGAGTCATTGGGAGGGATGAGGAAGAGAGGAGGGGGCCTTGCTCACTGACCGGGCGCCCAGGAGAAGGAAGAGGAGGAGGAGCAGGAGCAGGAGCAGGAGCAGGAGCACGAGCACGAGCAGGAGCAGCATGTGGAGGAGGAGAGGGGCAGATCTTGGGACGTGTCAAGGGTCCCATGGATTATGAGCGGGGGGAGGGGGTCCAGCGGGGAGAAGGTGGAGTCGTGAATGGCAGAACGTTGACGCATGCCGCTGCCCCTCCGGTCGACACGGCGGGCCGGGCGTGTCGCCCGAGTCTTCCCCACTGAGCTCAGACCTTGCGGTAGGCTCACGGATGGAGGGCGGCTCGCTCTCAAGATGTACTTCTCGCCTCGGCGCCGCGCACGTTCGCTTCAAAACTCTGCACGGGCGGAGGGGGGTGGCTTCTTTGCACAAGATGGCTCTCGCCTCGGCGTCGCGCGCCTCCGCTCCAACAGGGTGCGAGAGAGCTCCGCGGATGGAGGGCGCGCCGTTTTCCACGTGTGGTCCGCGCCGGAGCGCCGCGCGCGTTCCTTGCGCACAGCGCTGCGAGAGCTCCACGGACGGAGGGCGGCGCCGTTCCAAGACGCGGCTCTCGCCGCAGCGCCGCGCGCGCAGTCGCTCTGCGCGTTTGCACGCGTGTTCTCGGGCTGTCTCAGGGCTGACGCCCCGGGCACGGTGTTTGGGCACGACGTCGGAGTTGTCAGGGCGCAGCGGTCACGTTGATTCGTGGTGGTGAAGTCCCAGGAGCGGCGCTCTGGCACGATGCAGGATCGCCAGGACGCAACCGTGACGGTGATTCGCGGCGTTGAAGTCCCAGGTTTGGTGTTTTGGCACAGTCCTGGAGTTTCAAGCGGTTGTCTTCCAACGGGGGTTTTCCTTCAGTGAAAACGAATCTTTGAAGGCGGCCAATGAAGAGGGAACTCGGAGAGGGTCTTGCTGCAATATCGTTGATGAGTCTGGGACTTGCATTGTTCTTCCTCCTACAACCATCTGGGTTGAAAAGCAGAGACGGCGGGGTCCAGGGTAGACATTGGCTGCTTTCCGTTAGGAAGCAGGGCCCCGGGACAAAGTTGGATTCGATGCCAATTTTGGGGCCTCCAGTGCCCCCATCCTCCCGTCTAAATATCAGAAGGGCCAATGGGGGCTTCGACCCAGAAGTGGGATTCCAATCACGACTTCCTCAGAGAAAGCTTCTGGTCGCCTTTCAGGTCGACCAGAAATTCTGCCATGCCACCGGAAAATGACGCCTTCTTTCGGGACATCCTCAGTACATCTGATCGCTTTTAGACTGCCAGAATGTGACGATTTCGCGTGGGACTTCATCACAACAGAGTTCCCCTCGCATCTCATGCCACCAGACAACGGCGAATTCGCTTGAGACTTCCTGACAATCGGGTTTCTGGACTCATGTGCGTTTGCACCGACGCCGCGGACCTATTCCTCTTCCTCCTCTCTCTTATGCTCATAGCAATTTCTGATCTGCCTCCCGTATCATGCTATCGGTGCAAGCCAGATTCAAGTTGCCATAGCCTCGCGCAGTTCGTCCTATCTGCGCCTGGCCGGTTTTCCGCAGCGATTGCCGTTGCTTTGTTCCGGGCGCCCCCTGGGGGAGTTTCGGGTCCTGGGGTCATCTTGGGGTGTCGAGGCCGACCCAGGAAGCAGGGTCCAGAATCGACAATCCTGGATCGATGATGCGGGGTCGATGCCCTAGGATCGACTGAGAACCAGCGATCCGATATCGAGCGGAAACGCGAATCTGGGTTCCAGGGCTGATCAAAGTCCGACAGCCGATGTGTGATTCAGGATCGAATGTCGAGGATCGAGGGTCCTGGGCCATTCGAAGATCGACGAGCCAGGATCGAGTGGCCACGATCCACTGGAAGTCGACGATGGATGGTCGATCGAAGAGCGAAGATCGAGAACCGAGGATCCAGATTCGACTGTAAAGCCAGGCTCCGGAATGCAGGACCAATCAAATTTCGACGATTGATCGAAGATCGAGGATGGAGGCTCGAGGACCCAGGATACTTTGAAGGTCGAGGATCGAGGACCGGTCGAACAGCGACGATCGTCGATCCAGGATCCGTGTTCGATCGAAGGTCGATGGTCGAATTATGACCGACGAGCGAAGATCCAGGATGAGATGTTTTCTGTACTGCTCCAACCTCCACTTTTCAATCCACGGGGGGTACCTCTTATCGTCGTCGTCCCTCTCCTCCTTATCATCTGCCGCCTTCTACTTGCTGCCCTCGTTCTTCTTCCTTCTCCCCCTCCAAATAATTCCCCCTCGTGCTGCTACCGCTGCTCACCGCCCCACTTTCTTCCACTTCCCAGCCTCTCGCTGGAGTGAGCCAGTGAGTGCGGGCGACTGCTTTGCCTGACGCCGCGAGGTCTCCTTCGGGAAGTTCTGCATGGTGATGCAAGAATGCACCTTCGAGGGCAAGGTGAAGCTGCTGTGGGAGGAGCTTGTCGTCGTCCTGTTCGTTTTCATCGCCCACACCATAAGATCATCAGCATCGTTGTCGCCGTCAGCCATCATCTGCGCACCACCGTCCTCAATAGTTGTTAGAAGCGTGTGGCCAGTAAAGCATTCCTCCACTCCTGCATGGCATCGCTGTGCAGGTCATGGCCAGTGCCTGCAGGCATCCCCCAACCATTGCTTGGCACTGGAGGGCTCCAGTCCGTGCCGTAGAGAAACATTCTTTCCGTTGCCGCCAACTTCGTCAGCTGGCGCCGTGATCGACTGCCCCCCGCCGGAGATGGTGCTGCCCTGCGCTGCCGGCCTCTTCCCTGACCCCCCCCCATACGGCCGACCACGCGACCACAAGCACCGACCACCAACAACCAAGCGCCGCCACACCGATTACCGGCGCGTTGCGCCAGCATCAACGCCAAACCCAGCACAGACGACCAACACAGACTCCACCCAACGACGCGGCACCAACACACCGCGACGTCGACTACAGGGATTCCTCCCCCTCCTCCCCTCCCCTTCCGTTTCACATAACTTCCTATGTCTCGCATGCACGCATTACCATACACAATAGTATTTCAGAGGCCACGGCCTCGTTCACCTGGTCTCCAGTAGGCCCGGACTGCTGTCCGCACCGGTGGTCGTTCGTTCGTTCCTTCCCCCCCCCCTACGGAGGGGGGGTTCGTTGAGGAATGCCCGGGAGGCTGCAGGCCCTGGAGGAGTCCGTATATCCGCTGAGGGGATGCGGCGACATCCGTGGCCGGATCCACGGCTGGAGGCTGCTTCCCAACCCAGAGCTCCTTTTTCTAATCGGCGGCGAACAAAGGGGGGGGGAAAAGAGAAAAATACGCCCCCTGAGATCCTTCAGCTCAGCGATCTGGCCCCTGAGCGTCTCCATGGCGACTGGGGAGGCGAGGATTACTGAACTGATGGATTTCGGTGTCCTGGCATTCCGAAATGCATCAGTTCAGTAATCCTCGCCTCCCCAGTTGCCATGGAGACGCTCACCCCGCGAGCCGCCGGCCCGCGCCCAAAGTTTCTTATCACTCCTAATTTAAGCCCCCCTCCAAAGATTTCGCGGTACTCTTGTTGCTTATCTCATCTTTGGCCCGCAAGGGTCGGGAGAACTGAAATGGGTACGGAGGCCAACAGCACGTCTCTGTTTTTTGTTGTTCCTTGCTTCGCCGATCGGCGCGGGGGCTGACACCCACGCGCCGATGCCGGCCTCCATTATGGCAGGCCCTGCCCCCCACCGCGCTCCGGGCCCCTGGCGCGGCCCCCAGCTGCGCTGCCAGCCTCACGCCGTCCACGGCCCCGGTGATGCCCCGAGGCGTGCGGGCCGTGCGCGCGAAATTTTCGGGGGTAGCCAAGCGGGGGGGTGGCGACGAGGGGGGTCGGATATCACGGCGGGGGCCACGATGTTCGGCCCCCCCCCCCGGGCCGCACACGTGCCGCCGGCCATGATTTGCGCCCCCTCCCCCCCCCTCTTTGATGCCCCCCCTCTCTGGACGCCCCCGAGAAATGTGGTGGCGATGTGGGGCGGCGACGACTGCAGCATTCCAGGGAGGGCCTCTCCTTCGAGGGCCGCAGGAGCGGTCCTCTCCTGCCTCGGCGGGAGGTGGCGGCAGGGCGGCGGAGGCAAGACGAGGCGGCCTCCACGGCCGGAGGCTGGCGGAGGGCTGGCGGAAGCCAGCGGATGTAAAAGTCGCCCCCTCAAGAGATGATCACATTTTTGGGATCAGGGTCTCCCGAGCCCGCCACACACGTAGGAGCCCTCTGGGGCCCACGAGGGGCACGAGAGGTGCACGTTTGTGCGCCTCCCCCCTGTGTATCTCCCCCCCCCACTGAGCAACGTCCAAAGCTTTTTTGCCCATTCTCTTGGCCAGTCCTGTCCCCAACGGTCCCCGACCGCCCCCAGCCGATTTCCTCGGTGCTGCGCCTGCTTCCTCGGCAGGCCCCGTCCCCGACTGCCTCCAGCTGCCCCCCCCCCTTGGCCCGGCTGCTTCTCTCGGTTGCCGTCTGCGTTCTCGGCTGATGTCCGCCACTCTCTGTGGCATGCCCTGTCTCAGCTACACGTAAGAGTGACCCTTCGCCAGAGTGACTCGGATCAGGAGGGAAAAACACACAGACACAATTAATCTTCGATTCCCCAGAAGATAGAGGAAAATATGAGAAGGCGGGGGGAAGACAAACACCTAGAAAAAAACATGTAAATATGGGTAATCCTTTTATTTGTGTCTATTTATTTGTGTGTCCTAGGGCTCCTTCACTTTGGTGCGGCGCTTTCGGAGGGCGCGGGGGTGCCAAACCCGAGCATGCAGGCCGCTACCGCCGCATCGCGCGCAGCTATCGGCACGCCGCGCACCAGAAGTCACTGAAGTCACTGCTGCATGTGGCCGACCGTCCCCGACGTGTCCCCGGCCCTGGTGCCGCCCCGCCTTGCCGCCAACGTCCTTGGCCGCCGCGGTCGCCGATTGTCCCCGACGGTCCCCGGCTCGAGTGCTGCCCCGCGGTGCAGTCAACCTCCTGTGCTGCCACCCTTGCCCTCGAGTGTCCCTGACTGCCCACAGCCCTGATGCGGTTCTAGTTCATCGGAGCCTGCGCGCCAGTCTCATGAGCCTGATTGTGCAGCTCGTTTTGGGGCACAGTGTGCCACTCTCCCAGCCACCATGGCCAACCACTGCAACCCAGTCGTATTGTACATCTTCGACCAAGCAAGCAAGCAACCATTCAACTACGCAGACAACCAAGCAAACGTGCAAGCAAAAGGCCAAAGGCCAATAAACCAATCAAGCAACCGGCCAGCTTACCCAAACTGAACGACTAACGTACCAACACATCAAGCATAGTACCTGAGATGTAAGCAAGCAGCCGACCAATCCATCAAGCACACATGCTTGTAAACCACCGCAGTCATCGGATCGATCAAACAACTCACCAATCAACCAATCAATCACTAGATCAACAAAACGAAAGACCGACCAATCAACACACGACACGAGACCAATCAAGCATCCAACCAACTGGCGCACTAACAAATCGAATCACACGGTCAGTAAGCCAGTCATCCAGTCACCGATCTTTCCATCAATCAATCAATAGGTGTTAATCTCGCCAGTTTTTGTTGCGAGGAGCTCATGGACTCCGTGCATGCAAGGGGCTGCATGGACCAGCATGGTGCGTCGTACGTGGACTTGGATCCCGACTGCGCCAAGTTGTTGGACAACTTCAGGGAGCAGATGATTAGCAAGTCGGGCAGCATCATGCACTGCTGGAAGGAGGCCGCTCTTTTTGGGTCTCCTTCCTCTGCACCCCCCTCCCTCTCTCCGCCCTCCTTCTCCCTTCGGCATCCCTCCGCCATCTCCCTCCGACCTCCTCTTTCCCTCTTCCTCCTCATCTGTCCTCCCTCCTCCTCCCTCCTCCTCCCTCCTCCATCTTCCCTCCTTCTCATCCCTCATTCCTCCTCCTCGCTCCCTCCTTTCTCCTCCCTGCTCCCTCCCTCCTCCCTGGGCCCCTCCTCCTCGCCCCCACCCGCCCTCAGATGGTCCCCTCTCCAGCAACAAGTTCCCGTCAAGTCCCAGCTCTCCCTTCTCCTTCTTGCACGGGCGAGCTCGAGCTACAACGGTATGGGGAACAAGGTGATTTGACTGGCAGCCGTCGTGCTGAGTTGGGGCCTGGCCACATGAGGACCGCAGTCTCCCTGCCGCTCGGCCGTGACCCGCCTCCGCCCCTGCCCCTCTTCTTTCCCCCCCTGCCCTTCCTGGCGTTCTCCCGCCCCCCCTTCCCCTCGCCCCCCGTCCTGCCCGTGCGCTTCTCCCCGCCTCCTTTCCTCCCCCTTTCCATCCTGCTGCAGAGGCCGCAGCCCCTCCTCCCCCTCTTCCCTCTCCCCCCCTCCGTCCCCCAGCCCCCTCCTCCCCCCCTTGCTGCCTCGGAAGGGCACCGTGTCCTTTCCTGGGCCCCATGGCCCCGTAGGACTCCTCCCCCTCTTCCCGCCTTCCCCTCCTTCCCCCCCTCCCCCTTCCCCCGCTGCGCTCCCCCATCCCCCCCCCACTCTCGCCCACTCCCTCTCTCCCCCCGGCCCCCTCCTCCTCCCACCTCCCACCTCCGCCGCCCCCCTGCCCCGTTCCCCCCCACCCCCTTGCTTCTCCCCTCCATCGTCGTCTCCGTTGCCCCCGTCGCCCCCTCCCCTTGGCATTGGCCCTGGCCTTGCTTCTGCTTCCCTCAGGCGCTGGCCCCGGGCGGGGGACCGCTGGACGAGGGGGACTTCTGCAGCGCCTGCCAGGAGGCGGGCATGTCGGTGAAGAACCCGAAGAAGGTGTTCAAGCTACTCCTGGCGCGCATAGGCCGGCCGGCTGGAAGTATACCCCAGGGCAGTGCCCAGAAAGAGGGGGAGAGGGAGACAAGCTGGCCAGGCTGTGGCTGCGGGAAGGGAGGGGGGAGGGGGGCTTCTCATAGCACGCGTAGGCCTGCCAGCTGGGCATAATCCAGCGGCAACGCCCTGATGGAGGGGAGGACGGGGGCGGCGGCCAGGCAGGCCTGGGAAGGGGATCGATCGTTCCAGAGCGTTCCGGAGCGCTCTGAGAGATGTGGAGCACTCTGGGGCTGCGGCGGTGCCCGATACGTCCGCTGGCTCACAGAGATGTCTGGTTTATCGCATCCTGGGATGCTGTCTTCTTCCTGCCGTTACCTCAGGCGGTGGTGGATGGGTGGTGTGGACGGATCGGCTGGGCGGAAATGGGCTTGAGGGAGAGGGGAATGATTGGAAAGAGGAGGAGGAGGAGGAGGAGGAGGAGGAGGAGGAGGAGGAGGGCGAGATGGAGGACGAGGAAGCGAGGAGGAGTATGCAAGGAAGAGGAAGCGAGGCTAGGGGAGGGTGGATGAGGGGGGCAAATGGGAGGGGGAGGGGAAGTGTAGATTCTGCGTTCCCGAAGAAAGTCTGCTTTCTCTAGCCTCGGCGCATGTGGTTCCACGCGCATGCCTGCTTGTTCATAGCACATGGCATCTCCAGAACAGGAGTGTGCGAGGAGCCTAGAAGTACAGGAAGCGAGGGTGGCACATGCCAGGCTGCTGATAGAAATATCAGGTTCTCCTGGCCAGTTGTGAACTCTCCCAGGCGGCTTTCGAGAAGGGCCGTGTCCCAGCAGTATAGCCGAAAGTCGGAGCTGAAATTTGGGGCGTGCCAGCCTTTCGGCGATGAAAACCACCCTCTCCGAGACAACTCAGTTGCCTGAAGCACGAAGGCAGGATGGATTATGAAAATGTGGCGGGAAGGGGAACCTCAGATGCAGTTTTCTTGAATGAGAGCGCCGCCATTGAGTGTATCAATTGCGCTGGAGTCCGTGAGCGTATTGCGTTCCCTGGGAGCGCGTTGAATTTTTGTCTGGGTGCCTTGCGCCTCTGATTGCTACATCAGGGGGAAGCGTCCAACGAGCAACGCACTGTGACAAGCGAAGAAGCTGACTGAATAGTAAGTTCGGGTAAGGGCCGGTTGGAAGCATCGGGCCGGCACTAATACGAAGCCCTGGTATCCCGGTTCGTTATAGTTTCGTGGTTCCGCGCGCGCCCTGCCCACGACACGCGAGCTTTGCCCCCGCGCTGCGGCACAGCTGCACCGCACCTCTCCGCAAATGGCTCCTTGATCCCGTGCAGCGCTATCCAAACAGTACACGCGAGCGTCGCCTGGCGTTCCCAATGGCATCGTGCCGTCTTCTCGCAGAGCGTCTCTCCTGCCGTGAAAGAGTGGGCGGTGCTGCCGTGATCGTCGGGCGCTCGAAGAGATTCCTTTGCGGCCCCTCAGATCTCGGATCATCGACGAGGTCCCAGATCCCTGGCAAGGCGAGGGAAACGCAATGGGATAGGAGGTGTGTGTGTGTGAGTGGGTGTGTGCGCGTGTGTATATAGATATGTATTTATACATATCTAAATGTCTATATATATATATATACATACACATGTGTGTGCGTCCGTAACCCCTGGCTCAAGCCGCTCTGGCTCGACGTCCGAGCCCGCCGCGCGCCTGGGGCCGGGGGTCTGCCCTGACCTCCGGCGCGCCTCGCGGCCCGGCGGGCGCCTTTCGGGACGCCTCCTCGCGGCGCCCGCCCCCGCGCCATGCCCTCGGTTCCTGCCGGGGTCGGCCTTGCGGCGGCGGCAGCGCCTTGCCGCCGCCCGCCGGGTTGTGCCCCCTGCGGCGGCCCCAGCTGGGCAGTCCAGCCAGGGCCGCGGCGCTGCCGCGGCCTGCCGCCGCTGAAGCTTCGCTGGTGGCCGCCGGCGGCGCCGCGGCCCCGGCTGCTCCTGCCGCCGCCGCCGCCGTGTTTTCGCCTGCGGCTGGCCTCGGCGCCGCGTCGGCCCTGGCTGCTGCCGCTGCTGCTGCCAGCTCTCTGCCAGCGGCGGCGGCTGCTGCCTGCGTGGCGGCGGGAGCCCCTGGCTCCTTGGCGCGCTCGCCGCGGACGCCGCTGCTGCTCCGCTGCCGCCGCAGCCGCATCGCGCGGGCCGCCGCCGCCGGCCGCCCTGGCCGGCGTCGCGGACGCCTCGGCCCTCGTCCCAGCATGCAGGGAGCCTGCCCTGGCTGCCGTGGCTGCTGCCACCGCTGCCGCCGCCGTTGCTGCCGCCGCTGCTGGGGCCTCGCCGGCAGTGGCGGTGGCGGACGGCGTGCTCTCCAGCTTCGCCGCAGCCCGCGGCTACGGCTACGGCCCTCTCCAACGAACCCCACGACGCCCCCCAACGCCACCCGGCGCCCCCCGACCACCCCTTTCGACGTCTTCTCCACTCTTCCGACGACGACCCTGCCAACCCTCCCGACGACCCTCGCGGCATCCCGCCCGACCATCCCGCGACACCTTCCACGCGTACCCCCCGACGACCACCCTGATGACCCTCCCGACGACACTCCCGATGCCAGGCCTGGCGCGCACCCTGACGCATCGCCTGACGTTCAGCTGGATCCCGACGCCATCGGCTACAGTACAGAATGAGATGGCGGGACTGGCGAGCTGCAGCTCGCCCTGCCTGGCGCGATCAGCTACAGTGCAAGGACCAGTGATTGCGAGGTTGGAGCGCGGCGGCATGGTGCCATGCCGTTGCCCAGCGTCTCGCTGGCTCCACTGTCGGATCCCGACGCTCTCAGCCAGATTGCCGAGATCAGCGAGCGCGAGGATGGCGGGCGGTGGCAGCAGTCCGAGCCGCCGCCGGTCGGTGCGTGCGTAGTTGGCGAGCAGTGACAGCGGGCCGTGCCACTGCCTAGCGGGAGCACGATCAGCTACAATGCCAGAGTGCGACGCGATCAACTGCAGCGCTGGGATCACCAGCTGCGGAACATGGGGAGCAGTGGCAGGGAGTTGCTCCGTTGTTCAACGAGACACTTCTCTCCAGACCTCAGCGCCATCAGCTGCAGTGCCGAGATCAGCGGTTGCAAGGCCGAAACTTTTTCCCAGGTTGTACCATCCTCTGGGCTGGGCAGTCCTCTTGCAGGAGCGTGCGACGCCGCCCACCTCTCCCTCGCTGTGGGCAGCCCCCGCGCAGGCGGGTTGGGTCTCGACGTTGGCTGTAGTTTTGGGGCCCCTGCCCATCCCACTCACCTGGCCATCGCCGTGGGCCCTCCCAGCTTGACCGACGACCTGCCTGCCGACGTTCCACCCGACGCTGCGCGCGACGCCCAGGAAGGGCGACTCGGCGCCCTGCCCCGCGACGACGCTCCGCCCGATGCACAGCGCAACGACAAGCCCGATGCCGCGACCGACGTCCAACCCCGCGCCCAGGCCCGTTCTCCGCCCGTTTCCCGATTCGCCTCACCACGGCCAACCAAGCGCCGCGCCTGACCCCCCGCCCGATACCATGTCGGGCGCCGTCTCCGTCGACGTCTCCGACGCCACTCACGACCAGTCCCCAGAGCCTCCCGACAACGAATTCACCCTTGTCTTCTCTCACAACTTAACTCGAGTTTGCCATCTCCGTTCGCAACCAACCCTATCCCCAGCGACTTGCTCGTTGCCGCCGCGCGATGGCCTGGGCAGCGTTGCCAATGGGTAAAGGCAGCGTGCTGGGACATGGGACATGGGGGCGCCTTGCATCCTCTACGTCGCCGACGCTTCTTCTGCCGTCCCACCCGACGACGCCGCCCCTGACGCCCTGCCCGACAGCTTCCCTGCGGCTCTCTCTGGCTGCCTTCCGACGGTATCCGTGACGCCTTGCCCAGCGTCCTGCCCGACGCCACTCCTGGCGCTCCATCTCGCTTGCGGTGCCATGGGCTGACACCGAGTGCGCCTCGTCCGTCAGCTCGTGTCCGCCCTGGCGGGTGGCCCTACTGTTTTTTCCGGTGCCCGCGCCACCGGGGCGGCTCGCGCCGCGTCCGTCCCCGGCGGATGGCTCGTGCGGGCGCCGCAGCGACGACGGCCCTCCTCCGCGTGCTCCGCGGACGCCGCCGCGCTCCCGCGCTTCCTCCGCAGGGCGGGGGGGCTTCCGCGGAAGCCCCGCCGTCCCCCCCGCCAGGCCTCGCGTGACTGCTAAGGCCTAGTCATGCGACCCCCCCTTCAAGTGTCGTTCAGTGCGTCGCCCGAGCGTCGCCCGCGCGCTGGCCCTGGTTTGCGTCTCTGTCCCGAGTCCCGGCCTCCCAGAGTGCGCGGGCGACATATGGCGCGACTTCGGAATTTCTCTGGCGATATATATATATATATAGGTTTCCGACGCCGGTGCACCAGCAGCCATTTTGGCGGTCGTGGCGCACTCTTAGGTCGACGGTCCACCACTTCGTTCTGTTTTAAATTCGGCGCAAGAGGATTTGCTGGCGCGCCTTTTCGGGGGCGCCAACCGTTGTTGAGGACGAAGACGCCTCGCGTTGATTGGGAGCCGCGCGCGTCGCGCCGCGCCGCGGTGCGGGCGACGTCGCGTCGCGCGACGCGGCGCCACTTCGCCCCGTCGCATCGCGATCCGCGCCCCCATGTCGTTTCGCGCCAATCCTCCTGCCCCCCCCTCTTCCCTCCTCTTCCCCTCGTCCAACGCGCTGCGCGTTTTGTCCCGTTAGCGAAATTTGTGTTCTGTTATTCTGTGTCAGGCTGCCGTCCTGTCCCCCTCCCTACTCGCCGCCCGTTGTCCTTCCGCCCTCCTGGGACTTCCTTTTCGCCCTCCTCGCCCCCGCCGCCCCCGTTCGATTGCTTTCCATCGCTGCCGCCGCCGCTGCGCCGCCCCCGCGCGCCCCCTCCTTGCCCGTTTGTTTCCTTTTCCGCCCGCCCTTCCATCGCCTCACTTCCATCATCTTTTCTTCTCGATGCGTCGGCAGGCGAGGCGTCGCCAAATCGCTGCAGCGACGAACCGATGTCCAAATTCTTACGGGACGTGCGCTTGAAATGGGTTAGTCCGTGCGCGCTGCATCTCCATGTCGTCCATTCGTCTCCTCGCGTTCGTAGTTGTCACGTGCGCGTCTCGCTATTTCTACGATTGTCGCGCGCGTCCCTCGATGGTTTCGCCAGCGGGCCGTGCAGTTTACGCGCCGTCAGAAGTCCACGGCGCCCTGCGAGCGATTCGCGCGCGACCTGCGCGCGACGCGCGAACGACCCGAGCGACGCTCGCGCGACGCACGCGCGACGCGCGCGCGACGCGCGCGCGACGCACCCCGACCCGCGCGCGGCGCGCCCCTGCCAGCGCGCGTCGCACGAACGACCCGCGCGACGCACGCGCGACGCACGTCCCGCGCTCGCGAAGCAAGCGCGACGCACGCGCGACGCACGCGCGACGCACGCACGACGCGTGCACGACGCAGTCGCGACTTTGCCCGCCCCTAGCATTTCTCCGAACTGCAATGCGCAACGGCCGTCGGCCCGCTGTGCATGCGCTGTTCACAAGTGGCGGCGGCTGCGTCCTCCATTGCGCCAGGAAGGGCGGCGCTTGCCCCTGTTCCTTCCGTTTTCCTTCCTCGTCGTCCCTTCTCTTTCGTCATTCCTCCTCCTTCGTCCCCCCTCCTGCCTCGTCTCCCTCTCTCCTCCCTTCCTCCTCCTCCTTTCTCCCGGCCTCCCTCTGTCTGTCCCTCCCCCCTCCTCTCTCGTCTTGGTTTTTTTGCCCCCCCTTTTACCACCCCGTGTCCCTCTTCATTTTCTTTTCATCCTTCGGCCCCCCTTCAGCGGCCGCGGCGCGTCGCCGCGAGCGGCGCCCCCGCCTTCCGCGAACGGCCCCGCCGCCGGCGGTGGAGGACGAAGATCGCGCGGAGAAAAGGAGGGGCCCAGGTGCGCGAGGCGGGCGCGGCGGCGAGAGCGGCCCGGCAGGGGAATGGCGGGGGGAGGGGAGGGGGCGGAGTGGGCGGGTGCTTCTGTAATGGTCACGTTGGTGATCATGGTCGTGGTCGCGTTCGTCGATTTGGCCGCGCTGGCGGCGGTCGTGCCGCTGGCGGTGGGCGGGCTGGCGGTGGTCACGTCGGGGATCGTGCTGGTGTCGGTCGTTGTGGTGGTCGCGAGAAACGCGGTGGTCGTGGTGGTTGTGATGGCGGTAACTGATGCTGGTCGCAATCGTCGCGGTGGATGCGGTTGCGGTCGCATCCGTTTGTGGTGACCGTGGCGGTGGTAGTTTTGGCGCTGGCGGCGGTCGCGGCGGCTGTGGCGGCGGCTGCGGGGACCTGCTGGCCTAGCGCCGGGGTGCGTTCAGCAGCATCGCGGCATTTGTAATGTTAGAGGGATTTGCTGATCTGCCGAGGTGGCCCAGCGGCCGCCTTCTTCTCGCCAAGAGGGCCACAGCGTGGGCGACTTTCTTTTTCCCGAAAGCGACTGGCCTTTTCAGCGGCCGTGGATCGGGCGATGCGCGCGCGATCCGCCCCGCGGGTGTCCGCCGCGCCGGCGACGCACTCACCGAACTGCCCCCTTGCGAGGGCGACGTGCACGTTCGAGAGGGCGGCTGGCCTTTTCGGCGGCCGACGCACGGGCGGCGCACGGGCGACGAATGCGCGACGCACCTCTTGTCGCGAAGGGGGGGGGGGGTGGGGGTCAGCGCGCCGGTCGCATTACTGGGCCTGAACACGCGTGACCACCCTGCGTCAGCGCCCCCGGGTGAGCAGTTCAGCCGGGGGCCCCCGAGCGACCGCGCCGACTCCCAGCTCCGCCTGCTCGTCGCCCTGCGCCGCCCCCCCCAGGAGCAGCTCGCGGCTCTCGTCGACGGCCTCGGGGGCAAGCGCGGCGGGCCTGCTGGCCCACGCCCCGGCTGCGGCGACGATGCCCGAGCCCCCCGCTGCTTTCTGGCAGGGCAATGGATCGAGCTCCAGTTCCCCCCGCTCGATCGACCCGCGCGACCTGCCGGCGCCCTGGGCCGAACCCGCCGCCTCCGCCTCTAGATTCGCCCCCGCCGCGAACCGCAGGGCAAGCGGACGTCGCGCTGAGGTTCCCATGGGCGGAGAGGGCAAGTCCAGGGGCGGTTCCGTCGTGGGCGGCCCCGCGGCGCCCGCCCCGGACGTCGCCTGCAGGCCCCGCCCCCCCCCGCGCGCGCGGGGGGGCCCACTGGGCGCCGCCGCGGGTCACGGCGTCGCGCCTCGCCTCCATCTGGTACCCAATCGGCGCCAGTCCTCCTCGTGGCGAGGCGATCGGCTCCGGCGACGGCGCGGGCGCCGCCGCCTGCGCGCCGCCGACCGGCCGGCCCCTTTGCTAACCTCGCGCAGACCCCCATCTGCAGCCTCTGGCTGTGCGACGAGGCCCGGTCGGTCCACGCGCGCGCAGCTCGGGCTCCGCTAAGCCAGGTCCTGGCGCGAGTTCCTCAGCAGGGAGAGCATCGCGCGCGGCGACCCAGCGCGCTGCTCAGACGAACACCCAGACGCCATCCGCCGCCGCGCTATCGGGCACAAAGACGAGCAAAAGCAAGGCCGAGCCAGCCTTCTGCGCCCCTGCCTCGGGCAGCCCCGCGGGCGCGACCCGGGGGCCGCATGCCTCGGCGCCGACCCGCCCGGGCGCGCCCGCGCGACGTTGGGGGGGGCGCCGGGCGCCCTCGCATTTGGAAGGACTGCCTCGTCTGCGCCGCTTCCAGAGGCGCTCCGTTCGGTCGCGCCGACTGCTGGAGCCCAAATACTCGGGGCGCCTCCAGGGCCGGCGCCGCGCGGCCGGCGAACAGCAGCGCGGCGCGGCGCAGAGCCTCCTCCGCGGGCAGGCCTCCTGCCATGCCCTCGTCTCCCAGGTCTCTGCCATGCTGTGCGAGGTCTTCGGGTGCCATGTCTGCGGCGGCACGGCGTGGTACGCGTGGGCCGCCAAGAACGCCTCGTCCGCGGCCTCTCCCGCCGCAGGTCGAAGCCCGCGCGGGCCCTCTGCTTCCACGCCCAGTCTGCTCAGCCTTTTCATGCGCGAGTGGCCTCCCATGCACGCGGTTCACTTGGTGAATTTCCCGACTTGCCATAAAAGCACGTCTGCCCCTCAGGGGACCGCTCCGGCTACTGGAGCCGGCGCGCAGACTTCCTGTCCTGTCCTGTCCCCCCTCCGGAGGTGGTCCAGGCTGTTCCCCCCGCCGCCCCTGGCGCTCCTCTTGCGTCGCCCAGATGGGGGCGCTGGCGCTGCTCTGCGCAAGCGCCCCGCCTTCCGCGCCCATTCTGGGCGCGGAGGGCGGCCCCGCCGTTGACTCGGCCTGGCCTCCAGCCTTATCTCGCTTCTGGTCTCTTGCTTTCTTCCCGCCCCGCGCGCCGCCGCCCAGCGGGCAGTCCGCTGGGTGGCCACTCCGCGTGCCTCCACTCGATGCCTTGCCCTGGATCCGTCCCCGTCTCTCACTCCTGGCCCTTTGCCCGTTCCCTTCTGCGTTCTCTACTGGCCTGCCGTGGCCCGCCTTTCCCTTCCACGGGTCTGTCGCATCCCCGCAGGGGTCTCCAGACCGTCTGTGCTGTGCAGCGTCTCACCACCTCGTACCGCTCTCACCACTCTCACTACTCTCACCACTCTCACCATTCTAATTATTCACCACTCTCACCGCTCTCGCCACTCTCACTCGTCTCACAACTCTCACAACTTTCACGCTCTCGCGGTACGTCTCCGCTTGGGAGGTCCAGCTTTTTGACGGGCCTGTTTACCACCACCACCATGAGTTGGAGGGGGAGGGGGTCCTCCTCCTCCTCCTCCTCCTCCTCCTCCTCCTCCTCCTCCTCTTCCTCCTCTTCCTCCACCACCTCCTTTTCCCCTCCAACTCATGGTGGTGGTGGAAAACAGGCCCATCAGGTGTGCTTCGCCGTCACCGTCCTTGGGGCACTGGCGCTTGACCGTGCGTGGCGTGCAACCTTGTCCGCGTCCCGCCCCCGCCTGGGGGACGCGCCGCCCAACCCTGTCACCAACCGGCTTGCATCCTCACCTGCTGGGCCTATTCTCGGGCCCGCATCGTGGCCCCCGCCGCCGCGGGCCCCCCCCTGGTGCAGCAGCTGCCTCGGTCCTGCCGGCGGGGCCCGCGCCACCCGCCTCCCGCTGGGGGCGTGGTCCGTCCCCCTGAGCGGCCCCGCGCTGTCGTTCCCTCTCTGGCGGCCGTCTCCTCGTTCTCTTCCTCTCCTCCCTGCATGGTGGCACGGCATCCCCGTTCCGCGACCTGTCGCCTGCGCAATGACGCTGCCTAGCCGCCGACGGAAAATTAGTGTGTGTGTGTGTGTGTATGTGTGTGTATGTGTGTGTATGTGTGTGTATGTGTGTGTGTGTGTGTGTGTGCGCGAGGGGCTTGGCGCGAGGCGGCTCCAATTCAGTGGGCGGCACTCGGCCGGTGGCGCACAGAGCATGATACCATACCAGTGGCGCGACCACTGGGCACCGAACAACGAGACGACGGCAGCGTCAGCGGCAGCAGCCGCGGCAGCTCCCGCCTGGTCGCCGTTCTCGGCGGGGACAGAATGGCCACCCATCTGGCCTTCCCCGGCTGACGAGTGGTAGGAGGAAGAAGGGGGGGGGCAGGTTTGTTGATAGTCTTTCCCCTATACAAGCCCATGGCGGGTCGAACCTTGCCCCAATACGCATTTATTTGTTTGAGTGCGCGACCGCACAGGGCAGCGCTCCATCAACGGACGCGACCTCCGCGTCCTTCTCGTCGGCGTGCCTCCTCAAGACCGCGCGGGGGTACGTGGCCTGCTTTCTGCCGCCGCTCTGGGCCCGATGTCCATTGTTTCCACCTTCATCATGTCTCCGCCGTCCTGTTTCTGTTGCTGGTGCTGCTCCGCTAGTGCTGCTGCTGCTGCTGCTCCTCCTCGTCATACCCCGCCTCCTTTCTCTCTTTCGACATATGTGGAACTATCGGCTCAAAGAAAGCATGCCACCGCCTTGTCTCGCCGTCCACTGCTCCCTTCGTACGTGTATGCAGGCGCCGTGGGCGATACGCGCTGTAACTGCACACCGTTCGCGAGCTCAGCAAGTGGCGACTTCTAGTTTGGATAGGACGCGTAGGTTTTAGCAAGCGCGCGTCACACAATGCGCAATGTGGCGTCATTAGGTTGAGCGAAGTTTGTTCCGTGATAGCACAGCCTCGAGCGACCAGGTTGTGTGAACGTTGGTCCCTCTCGGTGATGTCGAACTCTGCAGTCACTCGAGCGATAAACTGGCATTACGCTGCTCTCTGCAGTTGGTTTGATCATCAGCTTCCTCACGCGCCCTTACTTTCGACAAGCGCTCGATCGTGCTGCCGATGAAACTATGCTTAGTTCACGCGTTCGGGCTGAAGCGGACTCGCCGAGTAGGCGCAATAATCGTTTACGTTCCACACGTTTAACGTATTCAACACGTGCGTAGTTGTAGACGGTCTGTGAAGATGTTGATGGTGGCACATGCATGTTTGTCGTAGGCATGAATGTCGTATTGGCCATGACCATGGAGGCCTTCCGTGTGCTCCTTGAGTTCTGGAGGGTGGTGGTAATGATGTGGCCGATGTTCTTTTTAGCGGCTCTCTTATGCTGGGGCGGATTCTCGCGATCCTCGAGTCGACGAATGATGTGGTTTTACGAACAGTCGTCAGGGGGCCTAATCATGAAGCCACTATGTTACATGGCCACTTCGCTGCCTGCGAAAGTGCTGGCTCTAGTGTCTGCCATGCCGGATCCGTCTTCGGCGTCGCCCATCTCGGCAGTGTGGGAGGACAAGGCCTTGATCGCCGTCGCCTTGTCGAATTTCTGCAATGGCGAAGTCGAGGAATTGCTTGCCAGTGTCCCGCAGGTAGGCAGACTTGTATGATGTTGCAGCCCTTAGTTTGAGAGTCCCATACGTCTGTCAGGGCTTGCGGGATGTCACCTCCGTTTTCACGGCCGCAACGGCGGAGGCGACGGCCACCGTCACAACAGCTAGCAGTATTGTGGGCGCTAGAGGCGCCATACACTATAGCAATCAGTGGGCGTAGAGCGTCGCGGTGAACCCCCAATCAGCCTCAGGATTTCTTGCAACGGCTATGCCGAGTCGACCAGGTCTTCATCGAGCGCACATTCAGGTCATGGCTCTTGGAGCAGAGGTCAACGGGTCGATGTTCCCCAAACAGTGCTTGCACTCAGGGGCCCCTACCTGTGTTGAACAGGATCCGACGGGTCCGCCGAGGTCTCGCCTGGTGGGCGCCTCGTGCGCGCCCCCCTTTGCTGGCGAGGCCGGCCGAGGTGTCGCCGTGATGTCGCCTCGTGGGCGCCTCGTGGGCGCCCCGTGCGCTGCCGGGGCCCGCCGACGTTTTGCTCGGTGGCCGTCCGTGGGCTCCTCGCGGGCGGCCCGTACGTCGGCTGGGCCCCTCTGAGGCTTCGCCCTGTGTGGCGCCCCGTGCGCTGGCTGGGCCCGCCGAGTCTTCGCCTGGTGGGCGCCATGGGCGCCTCGTGGGCGCCCCGTGCGCCGTCTTGGTACGGCAGGTTCGTGCGGCGTTGGCGCGCCGGCGATGTCGGCGAAGGCGTTCAAGGTTGAGTGCTGCGACGCGGAAGCACCGATGGACACGGCGACGCCACAGGCCCCGACTGAATTCAACCTGGAACCATCGGGGCCGCCATCGACTCAAAGTGGAACGATCGACGCGGTGCCGAGAACCTTTGCGCGCGCCGACGCCCCACGAACCTGCTGTGCGCCGAGGTTTCACCTGGTCAGCGCCAGAGGGCGCCTCGTGAATGCACCGCGGCCTGGCTGGGTACGTCTATAGAAGGGCGCCTCGTGGTCGCTCCTTGCGCCGGCTGGGCCCGCCGAGGTCTCGCCTGGTGGGCGCCCGGTGGGCGCCACACGTGCGCGGGCTGGGCTCGCCGAAGTTTGGCCCGGCTGGCGCCCCGGAGGTGCCTCGTGGGCGCCTCGCGGTCGCCCCGTGTGCTGGCCGTGCCCGCTGAGGCTTCACCTTTTGGGCGCCAGTGGGCGCTCGCTTGGAGGCCGCTGCAGAGTGCACGACGCAGGTTCTCCTCTCCAAGAACAGGATCAACTCTACCACCCCCCCCTCCTCGGGATGATCGGGTCCCTCTTCGTATGTCAATTTACATATGATTCCGCCCCATCGTCCATCCCAAAATAGGAGCTCATACCACACCAGGGGAACCGGTGTCGGCCCCTCCCGCCATCCTCTGCAAAGCATACTATGCGCGCGCACTCGCTAATCAAAAATCAGCAGTTTCCGTAAATCCCGTGCAAAAGAAATGAGACGAAGTGCACACGTGCGCGTCGTCGCGCGCGCATGCCGAAATCCTTCAAAAGCTTTCGGTTGCGTAAGGATTTTCAAAATCGAGTGTCTAAAAACATATGGAATCTCATGCGATTTTTTTAAGAAAACAATAGGTCTTTCAACATTTTCAGAAAATTCTATCAAACAGGCTTCGCGCGCGCATGTCGAAATCGTTCGAGCGCCCTTTGCGCTCGTGCCGTCGCGGGGTTCCACTTGCAAAAAATGAGGCGAAGTGCACGCGCGCGTCGTCACGCGTGCATTCCGAAATCCGTCAAAAACCTGCGGTTGTGTAGCGATGTCAGAACCGAGTGTCCAACACACATACAAAACACTTGGTTTCGCAACATCAGTTTTCAAAAAAGCGTCGGACGCGCGCGCATGTCGAACTCTTTCCAAAACCTTCACCACCGACGCGAGGACGCCGTCATCGTCGTCGGCGTCGTGATCAGCATCGGCGCCCGCACTGGCCGCGCCTCCATCGTTGCCAACATCGTCACCAGCATCGCTACTATCATCATCGTGTATACCGTTGTCGACGTTGCCATGGTACCGTGCCCGCCCAAGTCGCCGACTCGAATTGAAGTGCCCGCTGGGATGTGCCCAGCGGTCAGCGCCATCGCGGCTGCGTCGGTCGCGCCGAACTAGCTGGCCGCTGTGCGCGAACCCTTGGGTTGGCGCGGCCTTAGAGATGCACGAGCCAACACCATGCATGCGTCGCAATCGCCACCGCATGGGTTTTGCAAACCAAGTTGCGGGTGGGTGGGTGGGTGGGATGCTTGCAAGAACATGGGATGTGTCAGTTCGGTAATGACAATTACTTACAACACGTTGGTTTCATCACATAGGTTGCAGCACATATAGCCACCGCTTGCACCACTTTGGTTTTCTTTCGAGAAAAAGAATAGGCTTTACCACCCTCTCCCCCTGGACTTCTCGCCCCCCTGGGGCGCGGCAGCTTGCATATGACTCTGCCTCATCGCTCATTTGCCGCACGAGTTCATATCACCCCAGTTGACCGGGTATCGTCTTTACTTTTCGTAAATAATACCTTGCGCGCGCATGCGTTTCTTTGAAACGGTTATGTCTGCAATGCGCAATTCTGTCTGCAAGGCGGAATTGCGAACCTGACGAACGACCATGTGTGCACATATGCCGAGCTCAAACTGAACACACCAGTGCTGCGAACATTTCAACCTATGAACCACCCAATGGGGTTTCTTCGAACAGTTTGCCGATGTTATGCCTGCGCACATTTGCTGAACTCGCAGGACAGCTTTATGGCTTAACCAATATCGTCCAGAATCCGCGGTCTCATCTTGACCACGCGGTGCATCCGCGTTGAGCCCTCATGCGCCCAGTGCATGCGTCGTATCAAATAGTACCATGCGGGCCACACTCGCGCGCAGCCGCGCACGCGTGTCGAAATTCGTTCAGAGCCATCGTAGGTCGACATGTCTCAGCATGACATAATGACGCAGACGTGACACACCGCATGTATTCCAACAGTTACCTTGTCAGGTTTATTGAATTTTTGGTGGCTCACACTTCCTCACCAGCATTATCACCAGCGCAGCCGGCTCATGCCATCGTCATCGACAACCGCCGCTATTGCCGCCATTATCCACCATACACCTTCATCGCAGAAACATGGGCAGCATCACTGTCATCGTCGTTACCAGCATCGGCGCCGTCATTGGCCTCGCCGTCATCATCGTCACCATTGCCACCACCATCGCTGTCATCGTCATCGTTGCCGCTGTTGTCAACGTCATCCTGATACCGCGCCCGCCTGAGTCACCGACCCGCACTGAAGCGCCCGCGCGCCAGCGCGGCCTTTGAGGCGCGCTTGGAAGTTGCCTTCAATAAGCGCAATCGGCGCTGCACTGGTTGTGCCACACTCGCTAACCGCTCTGCGCGCGAGCGTGCGTGCGCCAGCACGGCTACAGAGAGGCGTCAGTAAGGGCAAGGCAGTCGCGCATGCGTTCTCCAAAACAAGTTTCGGGTGCGAGTATGGGGTGGTTGCGCGAGCAGTGGAGTTGATAATCCATGAGTTGGCAAGCGAAACTTGCACCACACACGTTACACCACACAGCTTGAGCCACATATCAAGTTATCACGACCGATCAAGATATGTACATATCTATCTATCTATATATATACACATACAGGAGTGCATTGGCGCTTCGCGCTGTGCATTGTGGTTCTTGAAGTTTGGCATGCAGGCGGAATGGCAGGAAGCTCAAACAGACAACTTAGCGATAATTCCTTGTTGCCTATTCCGGCATCGTCATTATAATAATGCTATTCGCTATCCTTCCTCCATGTTTTTTTTCTTCATTCTCGCCCTACCCTGCGAAATCTTCCCCTTCCTGCTCAGCTCTTTTTGCGGAGGCTCCTCCTTGGAGAGCCTCTGGGGGCTTTGCGGAAGTTGTTCAAGCTTTCTTGAGGCCTTCTGGAGGCCTGCTGGGCGTCGTCTGAGGTCCTCTGGGGGCCTCCTTGGGCCACCCTGCCTCCAACCGCGGTCTCCCTGAACGACCGGGTCACGATTTGGAATGCTTCGGAGGGCGTCTGGCGGCCATCTTGGGCCGTATGGGGCTCTCTCAGGCCATCTTGGAATCCTGTTGTGCAGTCTTGGGGCTCTCTTGGACTGCCTGGAAGCCCTTCCGGATGCTTTTGGGGCGATGTTTGAGCCTCCCAGGCGGTCTCGGACGCCCCGAAGACCGAAAAACCAATGGGAGATCTATGCTTTCTGCGTTTCGGAAGCCTCTTGGGGGTCTTCTTTGGGTCGTCTTAGGGCGTCTGGTGGGTGTCTGGAGCCTCGTGGGGCCCTAGGGGGGGGCGTTCGGTAGCCCTCCTGACCGATTTGGGCCCGTTGCCTAGGCCCAGCAAGGGCTTCCAGGACCTCTGAAACGCTTGGGGGCTTCATGCAGACGCGTCCAGGGGGTCCCTGGCGCCACGGATCCGGGGGATCCAGAGGGTCCCGGGGGCCCCAGATTCGGGGGCTCCGGTTTCGGGGGGGGGTCTGGGTAATGATATATGTATATACATCACAGATATAAATGTATATGTATATGTATCGATACATGTTTATATGCGCATATATACATCTAAACATAAACCTTGCAGAGCGCCACCAGGGTTGCACTGCGTAGCTTGCTGTTCGTGTATTGCACCACGCCGACTGGCCACGTATAGTAAGCACCCAGGGTGCAATGACACATGGGTTGGGGTCCACGCTGGCAAACATTGGGTCATCCGGATGTGGCGCACTTGCAACGGCTGGTCATAGCATGTTCAATGTAGCTGCCGCCGCCTTCCAACTAGGGGAACAGCTGGGACGAATCCAGCATTAAATGGGCAACAACTTTCGTAGCATCCCTGCAGGCGTCGACCCCTGCTGAGTTTCAGGCGGCGCCAATGCCAATTTTATGGATTGACATTCTGCGCGAAGTGCATTAGCGTAGCTGGTCAATCCAAATGGGACGTTTCTCACGTGAGTTGGCGAGCGTGCGCTTCCTGTGGTTGCGTAGGGGACGCATCGTCGCCGTGTGATGATGTGCGCATGCTGGGCCGTTCGGGACGCTTCGTTTGTCCGTGGTGCAGCAATTTCGAGCTTGACGGTACAAAGCACGGTGTCTATCCATTGAAACCAGCACGCGAACGCCACGTTTGTGGAAGAGTGGATGCTTGTTTGGCAATTGCAGCCTCCAGTCTTGCAGTTTGTTGGGTCGCAAGGCGGCGAGATCTTCGAGCCGCACGCATGCGATCAGCTCTCTTGTGGATGGACGGGCTAATGGTAGTCTGCGACCAGTGCTGTCCAGATAACGACGTTGATGGTACCGTAAATGCAGACATGACCTATCAGAAAAGCGGCGATCGCGGTCGTTGTGATGGTTGAGGCAATATCGCCGAACGAATTGATGGCGATAGGCGGTTATAATTCTTGCTTGTCGGATTCCGAAGCCCAGTAAGTGGTATTTCGAGATGATCGCGCGTAAGCGAATCTGGAATGACGAGCATCTTCACGTTGCAGCCCAAATCAATGAGTTTGAGACAGCGGCTCGAGAAACATATCATCGGCTTCCACCGTCGCTCAGAACGGCAAGGGCGGAGACCGAGTCCAACAGAAGGCAACCCGATGCACGTCAAGTTTCAGCAAATAATCTTGAGCCGTGAGGGGCTGTGGGTTTGCACAAACAGCGAGCTCGCGTGCAACAGCGCCGGCCGAAGTCCCAAAGAACGAATGCCGCGGTCGCGAGCGAGGTGCTCTCAGCCGCACTCGAGGCAGCCGCGCCGGAAGCCCGTGCCCCTCGCGACCGCGCCTTCTCGCGACGCAGCCGGTTGGGCGCTTCGCGGGGCACGGCCGCAGGGGTTGGCGCCTCCCCCGGCGCACCATCGTAGTTCAAGCAGTGGCGAAGCGTCCTGGCGTGCCTTGAAGCCAACCCAACTATGTTCTAAGAACCTTTTGTGGTTTCCACGAAATGTTCTTAGAACATTTCTGGCTGGGACTGTCATGTTTTATCACATCGGGCTCATGTTCTAATAACATGTTTTGTTTTTCGAACATTTCTGGGTTTTAAGAACATTTCGTGGCAGGCCTATAGGACTGCTGGGACGGTCGGTCCCTGCTCAAGTGGTGGCTCTCATGCGCGACCCCCGTGAACTCTCAGCTCTTGGGCAGAGCGCACAGCACACCCTGCACTCTCAAGCTTTCCCTCGCCCCCCCCCCCAGATGCCGATCATCAGGATGCCCTTGGCTTCCGAGGGCACATCCTTAGGATTGTCATCGCTTTTGTCTTGCCCACCTTCGGGATAGGGATAAGTTCGAGTCTGGTTACACCCCCGCCTCCACCTCCCACTCCGCCTCTCTCCCGCGCTCTCCCACCTCGCTGGCGCCCCCAGGCCCCGCCGCCGCTCTCTCCCTCTTCCTCTCCCTCTCTCTCTCGTTCTCTCGCCATCGCGGATCGCGCTCCCCCTCGCCATCCCAGATCCCCCTCCGTCCTCCCATCTTTTCTCCCCCTTCGCTCGCCATCGCGGATCAAGATCACCCTCGCCTTCCTGGATCTCCCTCTTTCCTCCTTCTCCCAGTCCCCCAAGCACTTTGCCCCCTCATCGTCGCCAGGAGTCGCGGGAGAAAGAGAGGATCAGGACGAGGCGGAGGCTGAGGAAGGAGCTGGAAGAAGAGGAGGGATGAGCGATCCTGGAGAATGACTGACCATGGAAGATGGAGGGGAGCATGGGTGCGCTTTCACTGTCCCTTGCCCCACCACCTGGCTATCCCGGGCCGGCTCAAAGTGGGGAGCGCCCGCGAGGTGTGGGGGGCAAAGCCTCAACAACAATCGCAGGAGCTGGGGCGGGGAGGGCCGGGCATGCACTTCGCTCCGCCTCATTCGCCTTATCGTTTTGCTGCCATTGCCGCTGCTGCTCCTCCTCTTCGTCCACCCTGTTCTTTTGCACCTTCTTATCAACTGTTGCTGCTTCTCCACCCACTACTGACTCCCACTTCCCTTGCTGTGTCGGCCAGTCGCAGTGGTGTCAGACCAGCACGTCAAGTCTGGCAGATATGTTGTTCTTTATTCCTCCTCTCCCACACGCGTACATACCTCAGTCGCCCGTTGGGCGCGCACGACAGGTTTCACATCGCCGAGTAACTCGGCAGTGTCTGCCAGTCGATAGGACTTCGTCGACGACGAGGCCCCAGGCCCCAATACTGCGGCACGGCCGCCCCCTCCCAGGCTCCCTCCGCCCACTCCCTCCTGCAGGAGGGCCGTAGGACACCCCGCAGCCAGCGACGGGGCTTCGGCCGATGGCGGGGTGCTCTTCGGACGGGCAGCGTGGGAGAGCTCCCTCGCGGGACAGCGCGACGGCAGCGGTGGCACCCGCAGAGGACACCCACACATCACGCCAGGCCCCGGCCAGGGGGGTGGACTCACCATGCCAGGGCCCAAGATCTGGCCCTAACTAGGCCTGGTGGCGGTGGTGGTGCATAGGTTTGAATTCAAAAAAAAACAGTTTTCGAATTCAAAGACCAGTTATCTTTTAAGATTCAAAAGCCAGCCCTCTGCAACAATAAGCGCATCCTGGTCGTCGCGTATGACCTCCCACGCACGGCAGGAGTTGTGCTGACAGGTGCTGGGCGTCGCGAACTGGGGGGTGATAAATGGGGGGGGGGGCAGCGAGGGCTGCAGACAAGGGGCCCTCTGGGGCCTCTAAAGGAGCCCTTGAGGGTCCAAAAGGGGGCTTCTTGTGCGCGTAGAGTGCACCTTTCTCCCCCCCCCCTCCCCCCTTTTTCGCCCCCCCATTAAGCGACGCCCGAGGCTGCGCGCCTCAGCGCGCTGCGTCTCTCCGCTCCGCCTCCGGTCCCATCGTCCGCGAGGCTCGTTCGATGCCGCACCGTGAGCAGTTTGGCCCGAAGGGCCCTTTATGGGGCCGAAGCGCGTAGCCTCTTCCTTTTCTTTTTGTTGTTCTCTCTCTCTCTCATTCCCTCTCTCTCATTATCTCTTTCGCCACTTTGTGATCGTGGTTCTTACATTTACAGGTTGGTAAAGTGCATGGATGTCTATGCTCTGTGCCCCAGTTTTTTTCAGTGTCCACGCGCCGGTTCGGATTTATCCTCTTTGCGCGTCGGTTCGGACTTCTCCTCTTTCTCGACATCCCCATCGTGGTCATCGCAGTCGTCATCCTCTTCCTTCTCCTACCTTATGCCTCTTCCTCCTATTGATTCTCTCCTCCCCCGCCCCCGCTCCCTCTTCTTCCTCCTCCTCCTGGAACTCCTCCTGGAACTTCCCAGACCTGTTTGGAACATCCCAGGATTTCCTCCTCTCGGAACTTCCCCACCCAGGAATTACCGAGACACGCCGAACAATTTTGACCACCTCCCGAATATGTCCGAAGCTCTACCCCCGCGGTGTGTGCGTGCGTGCGTGCGTGCGCGTGTGTGTGTGTGTGTGTGTGCGTGTGTGTGCGTATGTGTGTGAATGTGTGTGTGTGTGTGTGGAGATGCCCTTCGTCCGCTTCCCCCCTTCTCTTCTCCCTTTCTCTTACCGAGACACGCCGAACAATTTTGAACTCCTCTCGAATGTGTCCGAAGCTCTACCCCCGCGGTGTGTGCGTGCATGTGTGTGCGTATGTGTGTGTGTGTGTGAATGTGTGTGTATGTGCGGTGTGTGTGTGTGTGTGGAGATGCCCTTGGTCCGCTTCCCCCCTTCTCTTCTCCCCTTCTCTTTCACGCTTCCCCTCCCCTCGGTCGGTCCCCCTTCGCCCCCCCTCTCGCGGCTGCCTCCCTGCGAGTCGTGCTGCGCTATTCCCCATGGGTGAACCCAGCACGCCCCGCTGCTGATCTAGGCCTTCCAGCTGGCCTCTTCGGCCGACTTCGTCAATTTGCTGCACGCGTGCTCGCAATGCCAAACAAGTGGATGTGTGTGAGGGAGAGAGAGAGAGAGAGAGAGAGAGAGAGAGAACGAGATAGAGATCGAGATAAAGAAAAAAACAGAGAAAGAGAGACACATCAACAAAAAAGGAGATGGACCCGTCGAGTGATCCCCATCGGCGCGCAAGAGGAACAATTGCACATGATAGGTTGAAACTCGCTGAGGGGCCGTGAATGCGATCTGTGTTGTCGGGGGGACGGAGGAGGGGGCAATGCCCGTAGGGTATACCTGAGCGTCCCAATCGTCGGTAAGAGTAAACCTAAGATCCGAGATTCTTGCGAACGTGGGTTCGTAAGGACTGGGATTGAAAGATTCAGCGCGCCTGCCGAGCGTACTGGGATCTTGCCCTGGAAACCCTGTTGCCCCCCCCCCCCCCCCAACGACCTCCAAATGATAGGGCTATTTCTTGATGGATTTGGAGAGGAGGGCGAGGAGGAGGAGGAGGAGGAGCAGGAGGAGGAGGAGGAGGAGGAGAAGAATGATGATGACTGGACTCCACGGGCCGCGCCTGCTCGGGATCGAATGGACCGCGAAAAAACATGAGGAGGGAGGGGATGAGGATGCGGTGGAGAGAGGGAGGATGAGAAAGGAGAGGAAGAGCGAGAGTGGGACGAATGACGAAGTGGCACTATTTCACACAGTACGGCTTGCAGGCCCTCCTCTACACGTAGAGTACACCGTGTGTTGCGGATGGGCGCCACTTACATGTAAGATGTTCCATCCACGCAGGCCGCCAAGTGCAAGCACACAATTCCAAACCCCCTACGAAGTTGAAACCAGCGTAGTGGCAATCGCTCGTGGCACCGAGCTAGCGCATTGACGGTACAGCCAGACCGGGCAAAGCAAACGATGGGGGGAAACCAGGGTGTGTGGACGCAAGCGAGGCCACCACTACTCTGCCGAGCCAGTTGCTTCACAATTTGCTTCGCCAGCTGACTTTGAACCATGCGATGGATGTGCAGAGCAGTGGAGATTGCCACGGAGTTTTTCCCATCGCGTTTCTACGACTTGCAGTGCGCGTGCCGCGTTGCGCTCGTTTGTCCGTGAATCGCTCGACGGGGATCGCCCTCCCGATGGGCACTGGATTTCTCGACCTGTTTTTTTCTGATTTTTCTGATTGTTTTCGCCGCGCCAAGTTTTGCCCACACAGTTGGCGTAACCACGAAAGATGAACCAGTCAATATTTGGAACGCTGCACGTGCACTCGTCCAGTCTTACCGTGCGTGGCAGAAGGGTGCGCCAAGACGGTGGCACCAAATCCCACTGCTTACGCGTCTCAGCGTGCGCACGGCCAGCCCACGCCTATTCACCCCCCGACAGTCACCACAAAATGCAAGCAGGCGAGCTTCACAGACGAATTGGAGACCAAACTCAACAGCACGATGGCCTTGATGCAGAATGGGACAGCCAGAAGAGGCGTTGCCTGTGACATTCCGCGTTTCGCACACGCTTGCCGCGACCATCCACTGAGAGACGGCGACTGCTCCCGGTCCCCTCGCGCTAGCTCGAGACGATGGGGGCACGCCTCAAGAGCCAGGCTGACCGGAGAGGAAAGGGAGGAGGAGGACGGGGCAGGAGGAAGAGTGTGCGAGGAGGAGCTCAATGCGCATGTGCGCTTCTGAACAAGACCCGGGGGGCTCGCCATCCGACAGACAACCCCGTATCGACCCCCCTTCGTGGGCAACCACCGCGCGACGAAGGTGCTCCGAGCCCATGGCGGCGCGCCGACGTGGCTGGCGAGGTTGACTCTGGTTGGGGGGCCAGACCCCCAATCGGGGGGGGGGGAGGGGAGGAGGAGGGGGAGGAGGAGGGGGATAGGGAGGAACGGAGGGGGGGAGGAGGCGGAGAAGGAGGAGGAGGGAGCAGGAGCAGGAGGAGGAGGAGGAGGAGGAGGAGGAGGGGGAGAAGGAAAGGAGGAGGAGGAGGATACGAGGAGGAGGAAAGGGAGGAGGAGGAGGAGGAGAGGAGGAGGATGACCAGTGTAAACCCAGGAGTCATCAACGATGTTGGAATGAACCCTCCCTCCAAGCTCCCTCTTCGTAGGCCCCTACAGTGGATCATTTGCATTGAGGGAACTGGCTCGTTGGAAGACAACCGTTTGAAGATCCTGAAGCGTGCCAAAAGCATTGTTCTCGGGATTACCACGCCACGTATCAACCTGACTGCTGCGTCCTGACGATCCGGAATCGTGCCGGAACGTCATTTTCTGGATTTCAACACCGCGAATCAACATAATTGTTGCGCCCGCATAATCCCGAATCTTTCTAAAACACCATTTATGGTACGTTGATCATGGGAATCCGTGAACCCCTTTCTGTATTTTTTCTGAAACGAATGCACGTGGCGCGAAAGCGAGAGCCACATTTTTAAAACCACCCGCCCTCGATCCGTGATGCTTTTGCATGTGTTTAAAGCGAGTGTGCGCGGCGCTAAGGCGAGAGCCACATTTTGAAAATGTACCTCCTTCAATCCGTGAAGCTCTTGCAAGTGTTTACAACGAATGTGCGCGGCGCTAAGGCGAGAGCCACATTTTTAAAACCATCCGCCCTCGATCCGTGAGGCTTTTGCATGTGTTTAAAGCGAGTGTGCGCGGCGCTAGGCGAGAGGCAGATTTTTAAAACCACCCGCCCTCAATCCGTGAAGCTCTTGCAAATGTTGGAAACGAATGTGCGCGGCGCTGAACGAGAGCCACATGTTGAACGCGATACAACTGTTACACTGTTGTCACATGTTTGTAATCAATCCCTGGGTGGGTCCCCGGCCGATTTGAAAATTGAAATATTTAATCGGCGACCTCAACATTCGAGCTCAAAACCTCGGAATTGAATTCGGCCGCCGTCACTTCAATATTGGAGTTGGAAGCCCCAAATAGAAATATTGAAAAGGTTTCATTCCGGACTCCAGAATTGAAATATTGAAATATTGAGTTTTAAATCTGAATATTGAGTTTTAGCTCAGTGGGTTTCAAACCCAATATTGGGGGTTGACTTCCAATATTGAACTTACGAGGCCGTAGGCCGGCCAGAGAGGAAAGGGGAAAAGCTCGCACTTCCCAGGGGAGAGACACGAACCGCATCGCCGATACATCGGCGATGCGGCGCGATCCTCCGACCCCATCTGCTCGAACCCCATCTAGGAAGCCTCGAACGTGGTGTTCGCAGGCGTTCGATGGTGTCTACACAGGAGGAGGAGGAGGAGGAGGAGGAGGAGGAGGAGGAGGAGGAGGGGGACGGGTAGGGAGGAGGAGGAGGAGGAGGAGGAGGAGGAGGAGGAGGAGGAGAAGGAGGGGAACGGAAAGGGAGGGGGAGGAGATGGGGGAGGAGGAGGAGGCCGTAGCATGAACAGCACGCCCCGCCCAAAGCAGTCACCCGAGGCGTTTGGTGACTGTTTTGGGCCCGCCCGCCCAAAACAGTCACCAAACGCCTCGGGTGACTGTTACCCTCCCGACCGTCACCTCTTGCACCTGTTCCGCGAGGGTGTGATGAAGCTCACCTCTGGGCCGAGGAACGCCATTTCATATAACATTGCGATCAAATTGAAGGCCATTGGGTGCTCTACTGAGTTTGTGGACCTCCAAGCTGTTGCGCGTGCCGCTGCTATACGCTACCATCTTCGGTCTCATAACCTGTATGGAGTCTTGGATGAGCTGGATCGTGCTCGGGATGACCTCGAACACATCCCATATCGATGGCATAGGGGGTGGCATGAACACAGCTTCTTGGGATATATTCGTTCTCTCCGCGATTGGTACCTTGGGTTGTCCGTGGGCCTCGCCTCCGACACTTCGAAGCTCCAGATGAAGCTGTATAACCACTTCAGGTCTCTGGAAGACTCTGAGCCCGTTCGGGACACCCTCCTCAGACGCGCCCACCACTTCTGCCCCGAGGTCTCCTTGCAACAGATTGAGGTGATGTGCCTGAATATTCGGCGAGTGTGCAACGCGACCTCGATGTACCTGGGGATTGCCCCGTTGAGGATGATGACGGGATCTATCTGCACGAGCGGGAGGTTCCACTCAAATCCGAGAGGGTGTCTATTCGGTTGTCAAGATGAGAGTTGCCCCGACTCCGACTCGCTCCGTCACTACTCGCATTGTCCTCAACTTGAATCGTTTCTCGAACGTTGGATGGGGAGAGCCCTGCGTGTGCATCGTCGTGAGATGAGCCTCCACTGGTTTTCCTATTGCTTCCTTCTCGGATTTGATAACATGTCCGCTCTTTTAAATCGTGCTGCTTGCATGGATGCCTTCAGTTTTGCTCTCAACGCGAGACGTCTGTCGGTCGTCACGCCCCCCTCGCTGGTCTTCGAAGCGAGGTTGCGTGCGACCGCCCGTCGGCACCCGAGGCTTGCTTCTGCCTGGAGTGCTTCTGTCGTTTTCTTTGCTCGGCGGGGTGTTCGGCTTGGGGCCCCTCGGATGCAAGCGCTGCCGCCACGGGCGCATGGCGCCCCGCGCGGCAGGCGGGAGGTACCATCCACAGGGCCGCCCCCGCCCCCCCCTGCCGATGCAGTTACTGCTCGGCCAACGCGTCGACCGCCTGGGAAAGAGACCTCCAGAGTCCCCGAGGGCCTCCATTGAAAAAAAAAGAGCCTTGGGTGACTGCTTTGGGCGGGGAGGAGCCCCGCGGGCGGGATTTTAAAGCACGACGCAGCTCTCGCGGTAGCAGGCGCGGGCCGGTCGGGTCGGGCGGGCGGGACCTGAAAGGTTGACGCAGCTCTCGAGGTAGCACGCGCTTGCCCTGGCAGACCCGCCGGGTCGGGCGGGCGGGACATTAAAGCACGACGCAGCTCTCGAGGTAGCGCTTGCTTGCTCTGGCGGGCCGGTCGGGTCGGGCGGGCGGGACCTGAAAGGTTGACGCGGCTCTCTAAGTAGCACACGCTTGCCCTAGCGGGCCGGTCGGGTCGGGCGAGCGCCGGGTCGGGCGGGCGGGACTTCAAAGTCGGACGCAGCTTGCTAGGTAGAACGATCTTGCCTTTGTGGACCGGTCGGGTCGGGTCGCCCAAATCAGTCACCAGAGCCTCTTGGTGACTGTTTTGGGCGGGCGTGTATTGAAACTATGAAAATCGGCAGCAACCAGAGCAGGGAGGAGGAGGAAGAGGAGGAGGAGTTGGAGGAAGAGGAGGAGGAGGAGGAGGAGGAGGAGGAAATATGCCTCGAACCTCCACTTTCGCAGGCCAATCAAAAGTCCAATATTGGATTTCCCAACCCCGGAATTGAAAAACCCCAATATCGGGTTTCGGACACCCCAATATTCTAAGCCGGAGTAGTGGGGGGAACACAAATGGGGGGACCAGGGTAGGCGCAATAGTTCGTGCAATAGTTGGCGTTTGGGTGCAATAGTTTGCGACGTGGATGCAATAGTTCCGCGCGGGTGTTGCTTCGTCTTGTTTCGTGCGCAATAGTTCAGGCGGTTTGCAATAGTTCGTGCCCCCTCGCAATAGGTCGCGCGCAATCGTTCAGGCAAACGAACTATTGCACCTACTGCCGTTCCCCCATTTTGTGTTCCCCCCATTGCTCCAGCGTAAAAATATCGGGGTTGGAACCGAGATATTGGACGAATACCTCGGTATTGAACACCAAGACTAGGAAAGGTCAATATCTCATTCCGGAGTTTGACAACTCCACTTGTGGTTTCTTTCATTTCAAGTATTTGGAAATTCCAATAATGAAGGTGGGGATTAATCTTTTTCAGTTCCGGAGTCGAAAACCAAAGTTTTGGGACCCACCGCCGGTGGAGCTAACACATGTTTAGTTTCACAATCATAAACGATGAGGAAGTCTCAGGCAAAACGCCCGGCCCGCCCTAAAAACTGGCTTCGGGGTGCGACAGGGAGAAGTTGTCTACAAGGAGAAGGAATGGAGGGATAATGGAAGAGGAAGAAGGAGGACTTCGAGTGCCCCCCCTCCCCGCCGCGGGGCGAGCCTGGAGGAGACTCAGCAGCAGGAGGCGCCTGAAGAGCCGGAGCAGCCACAGGGCGCTGACTAGGCTTCCGCCGCCAGGTAGCGCGCAGAGTAATAGGAGGAGGAGGAGGAGGAGGAGGAGGGAGAAGGAGGAGGAGGAGGAGGAGGAGGAGGAAGAGAAGGTGGAGAGGGAGGAGGAAGAGGAGGTGGAGAAGGAGGAGGAGGAGGACGACGAGAAGAGGGAGGACGGGGCAGGATGGGGAGGGCGAAGAGGGGGAGAGGCAGGAGGGAGTGGAGGGGAGGGCAGCGAAAAGGGGGAATGATGATGCTGCTGACGGCGACGATCATGATGATGAGGATGCTACTGATAACTAGCCGGCCGCTCTGCGGTTGATTGGGAGTTTCTGTACATGGAAGAAGGGGCGTGCGCTTCTCGGCGAGAGGGAGATCATCGAGGTGAAAACGAGCGTGAGGATCAGGAGGGCGAGGCTCGCGAGGGGGAGGATCAGGAGAGTGAGGGTCACGCGGGTGAGGATCAGGAGGATGAGGATCGGGCGGGCGTGGCGCCCCCCGTTGCCATGCTGGCAATCTCAACCTCTTCCTCATCCATCTCCTCCTCGTCCTCCTCCTCGTCCTCCTCCTCGTCCTCCCCCTCGTCGTCGTCCTCCTCCTCCTCTTCATCCTCTGCCTCCTCCAACTCCCCTCGTCCTCCTTCACCTCGTCGTCCTCCTCCCTCTCCTCCTTTCCCTCCTCGTCCCCCCTCCTCTCCCCCCGGGGATTTCCCGAATCTCGCCGGAAACGGAGTAGGGGTCATCGAGGGCATCGTTGGGGAGGCTCCGGGGGCCGGTTTTTTTGAGGATGCCCCACGCGAGGGCGATTCGTCGCCAGATTCGCCAGATTTCCCGGATCTCACCAGAAACGGAACAGGGGGGCCTCTGAGGCCTCCTTGTATGGCGAGGCTCCAGGGGCGCGCGGGGGCGCTGGTTTGGAATTCGTCGCCAGATTCGCCGGATTGCCCGAATGTCGGTGGAAACGGAACAGGGGCCCTTGAGGGCCTCCTTGGTGAGGCTCCAGGGGTCGGTTTTTCTGAGGATGTCCTACGCGAGGGCGCCGGTTTGGAATTCGTTGCCAGATGCGCCGGGTTCGTCGGATTTTCCGGATCTCACCAGACTGAAACGGAAGAGGGGATCCTCTGAGGAGCTTTCTTAGGATGTCCCACGCGCGGGCGCCGGTGTGGAATTCGTCGCCGGACTCTCTGGATTCGCCGGATTTCCCGGATGGGGAGGCTCCGGGGGCCAGTTTTTCTGGAATTCATCCCCAGATTCGCCAGATTTCCCCAGTCTCACCGGAAACGGCACAGGGTGGCCTTTGAGGGCCTCCTTGGGGAGGCTCCGGGGGGCGTTTTTTTTTGAGGATGTCCCACGCGAAGGCGCCAGTTTGGAATTCGTCCCCAGATTCGCCAGATTTCCCGGATCTCGCCGGAGCGGAGCAGATGAGCCTCTAAGGGCCTCCTTGCATGGGGAGGCTCCAGGGGCACGCGCGGGCGCTGGCTTGGAATTCGTCGCCGGATTTGCGGGATTTCCAAGATTTCGCCAGAAACGCAACAGGGGTCCTCTGAGGGCCTCCTTGGGGAGGCTCCGGGAGCCGGTTTTTCTGAGGAGGTCTTATGCGAGGCAGGGGGACCGGAAACAGAACAGGGGGGCGGTCGGAGGGGCCATTGCCTCGCGCCCTGGGAGTCAGGATGACGTGAGTATATGAGAACGACGATGATGCAGCTGCTGCTGTTACTGATGATGAGGATGCTGCTGCTGATGATGATGATGATGATGATAATGATGATGTTAATGATGGTGATGGTGATGATGTTGTTGTTGATGGTGATGGTGATGACGATGGTGATGATGATGATGATGATGATGATGATGATGATGCTGGCGATGCTGATGGCGACGACCACGGCCAGTACGATGATTTTGATGATGATGACGATGATGATGTTGAAGGTCATGATGATGATGGTGATGATGGTGATCATGATGATTGTGATGACGGTGGTGTTGATGATGATGATTGTAGCCCTGGTGGAAGCTTGTGGTGATGTTGATGATGATGACGATGATGAGTACGATGATGATTATGGTTGTGATGATGATGCTGATTTTGATTATGATGGTGATTATGCTGATGACGATCTTTTGGCTCAGTCACGGCGCTGGCGCCGCGAAGGCTAGACTCGTTGCAATCTTGCTCCTCCCTCTCCTCCCTCTCCCCCTTTCCTCTTCTCCTCTTTCCCTCTGGGCAGTAGTGTCTTGGGAATTTCGCCGACGGCCATGCACGGCCTAAGGCTTTCGGCGGCTCACGCTCTAGGACGTCATCCCAAAGGGGCTTCCCTGGGAATCAGGCTGCACTCTTTTCGTCTGGGAGAAATCGTTGACCCGTTTGTGGCCTATGTTGGCCATGTGGCCTTTCAATGGGCCACTGCGGTCTGGGATAGCTTTCCCAAGGTTTCGATTTTGAATGCGACGGCCGACGCGGCCATAGCTCGAGCCAATTCGAAAAGGCACCCATGGCAGGGAGCTGCGACACCTGCGGATGTGGCAGTGCTCAGTCTTGCTCGTGTGGGCTGGACGTTTCGTGACTTTCGAACGGTCGAATCAGACCTCGGGCAGGTCTGGAATCTCTCTCAGATCGCGCCTGTAGAGTTTCGGTTGCAGGTCCGCGCGGCGGCCGTCAGAGCGTCGGACAGGCAGGCGTTGATGCAGGTAGGAGATGAGCTCCAAGGGTACCCTCTTTTCTGGGATGCTGTGAGGCCTCTCCTTCGCTCCCCCTCCTCCTCTTGGAAGCCCCAGCATCAGAGGGCCCTCAGGAGCCTCATGAGTAATGTGCATTGGCCTCAAGCCAGAGTGCACAGGCATGGGTATCACAGTTGCGGCAAGTGTAGGCTGTGTCAGGAGGAAGCGGGGACCCTTTTTCACAGACAATTTCGCTGCTCGGCCCACGCTGTGCTCAGGAGGGATATGGTCTCGCCGCAGCTAGCCAGACGGGCGGCCCGTGTGCTCGAGGGAGGGGAGGAGCTTGCTGAGAGATTCGCGCGTGCGATTTTTCCGTCGCCGTTGGCGCTCTTCCCTGCCCAGGAGCCTGAACAGATTGTGATTTGGATTAATAGGCCTGAGACAGGCCGCCTCAGTGGTTTAATTTTTTCGGATGGGTCCGCTTCTTGGCCAGGGATTCCTGGGCTTTCGAGGGCTGGTTGGGCCTTAGTCCAGGCTGATCCCCTGGGCAATGTCATCTCGGCCTGTTACGGACCCGTCCCCTTCTCCCATGGGCCTCGCCAAACGGCCAAGGATGGGGAAGACTATGCTGTTTACATGCTGAAAATGTGTGCGATGGCACCGTTTGGTTTATATTGTGACTGCCAGGGAACTCTGGATGTCCTCTGGGGTGGCCAAGGGGCTGGGGCCTCGGCTGGTGGGCCCAGGGCCCACCTGTGGGCCCCCTTCTGGCCCAGTTTCTCCCCAGGGGATTTCACGGCGTTTAAGACGGCAGCTCACTGCTCGATGTCGGATGTCCACAGTGGCAAGACGACCTTGTGGGAGAAGCGAGCCAACGATTCGGTAGACTCTTATGCGAAGATGGGTGCTGCCAAGCACCAACTTTGCCAGCAGGACGCAGACTTGTACAGAGGTCTCAAGTGTCTTGTGAAAGAGTCTGCGAAGTGGGCTGCACATTTAGAGGTGCACCTGCAAGGTCAGGCGGAAAAGCGTCTGGACACTGTCGGCCTTGAAGCATCGGAAAAGTGTGCACCTGACTCTCACGAGTTGCCGCCTCAGCCTGAGCCTGAGATCGATGAGTCTGTGGGCGGGGAGGGGTTGGACGTTGGGGGGTCGGACGGGCTCGATTGGGAAGAAGTCGCCACCTGTGCCTTTTTACCTGAACGGGCATGCCCTGATGAGATGCGAGATCGACTCGCCTCAGAAGTCAGGAATGCCGCTGGTGTTTTGCGTCAAGTGCGGTGCTTATTGTGAGGACCTCCGCCCAGGTGTGCTTCTGTTGGACTGTTGCTTGCACAGGCCGAGGTCCCCACAGGTGAAGCATCAGCTGAAGAGAATTCGGGAAGGGAAGCACCCTCATGGTCGAGCCTCGTCGAAGTTCCTGACCCTCTCGTCGGCTCGCTGCCTCTCTCAGGCGGAGCGAGATTTGCTGTCTGTCCGTTGTGCTCCCTCGGCTGCCGCTCCCGCAGGGAGGCCCTCTGCCCGTGCGAGGACTGGCTTCGCCTCCAGGCAGGAGGTCCTCAGTGCGTTCGGCCTGTCCGAAGAGGACCTGCAAGACGTCAGGGAGCTCGGGCAGGCCGCGGGTAGGCCCCGCCAGGAGGATGAGGATGAGGCGTCCTCTGATTCTGATGGGGGGGGGGTCTTTTAATCGTTTTCTCTGACTTTAGGTCGCTCCACAACAACAACTCCTATTTCCCTCTCCTCCCTCTCCCCCCTGCCCTTTCCTCCCTCTCCTCCCTCTCCCCCTTTTTCTCTTCTCCCTCTCCTCCCCCTCCTCCCTCTCCTCCCTCTCCTCCCTCTCCCCCCTTTCCCCTTCTCCTCGTCCTCCTCCTCCCCGGCTGCGCGGGCGATCCCGTGTCCCCTCCCGCGGTGTGCGTACCCTGGGCGCAGACAACAGATTGCGCCGCGGCCTTGGAGGCGAAACTGTGTGCGACTTCGGCCCTGTACACCACGAAATTCCTTCCACGGTTTTAACTCCTGTTTGTGTGTTGCAGTGCAGACTGTAGGATGTTTTTGCTGCCAGTACTTTCCCGCAGCCGTTCCCTTGAAAGGCCACCCCGTGTCACAGGTCCCTCCTGCTATCGTCCTCGTCGTTGTCGTCGTCGTCGTCGTTGTCGTCGCCGCCGTCGTCGTCGTCGTCGTTTCGGCTTCCCTTCTCCTCTCGCCTTTCTTGCTCCTCTTGTCGCCGGCCTCTCTCTCCCTCCACGGGGGCGGTCCCTGGCTGCGGGCAATGTGAAGGATGCGGCCACGTGCGTCCGCTCACGGATGCATGCGGGCGCGCGCCTCTTGTGGCCGCGGCCTAGTACTACCCCCGCTCGCCCTTGATTCTCGCCCGTCGTTGCTGCTTGCTGCTGGACCTGGGGGGTGCTGATGATTCTGGCGCGGGTGCGGAACTCGCGGGAGTGTTCGCTGATGGGAGGAGGCTGTGGCTGCCAGTAGGTTTGATGACTGCTCGATTCTCCGTCTTCCCGCCGACAGGTGGGGGGCACGATGATTCGTTAACGCCGTTTTCCCGCCAACAGGGCGGGGCGCGATTGGTGAACATCGTCTGCTGTGCGTTGCTCTTCCGCACTTGAATTCTAGTTCAAGCCGTACATGCCTGCACCACGGCCTGGAGTCGGGCAGCGAGTCTTGGCGCGGAGGAGCCGCCACCCCTCCGCTTGTCATTCCCTGGTGTTGTATCTCGTTTCCGTCGCTTGTGCCAGTTTGTTGCCCGTGTTTCCAGTTTATCACTCAGTCTCATTGTTTCGCCGATGCCTCGTCAGCATGATGCGTCGCGCGTCGCGGATGCTTCTTTCCGCTTCGTAGGGGGCCATATGGTTTGCAGGCTTACATTCTGCATTGTGCAAGTCCGTTCGTGGTAACTCATGGTTGGCTATTTGTGTGGTCACGCACTGCCGTACGTTGCGCGATGTTTCACTTTTCAGGCCCAGTTCGCGACAGGTGCTCGCCTACGGCAGGTTGGCATGTGCGGCGCCGCTGGATTGCCTGGCAGTCTGTGTCTGCAATGCCGGTCCTTTTGTTCCTCCCTCCCCCTTGCTCTTTTTCCGCCTCCTTCCTCCTTTCTCCTCCCTTTCTCTTTCAAGTGCCAGTGGACAGTGTTCATCTATTTTGAGCGCCATCAAATGGAGGTTCTGGTGCGCGGAAAGCTGCAGCCCAACTCCGCTGTTCCGCCTGTTGCCGTTGCTTGCCCGAGGACGGGGCCTCCTAACAGGCGTTGCGAAGCGATTGGTGTTATGATGTTCATCGGATGTTCGCGAACAAATGAAGTAAAAAACGATGATGATGATCATGATGATGATGATGATGCTGATGATGATGATGATGATGATGATGATGATGGTCCTGATGATCGTGATGATGATGCTGATGCTGGTCATGGTGACGATGGTGATGATGCTGATGATGATGATAATGATGATGACGCTGATGACGATTATGATGGTGATGGTGACGGTGACGGTGACGACGACGACGGTGGTGATGGTGGTGGTGACGATTTGAGAGATGATGATGTTGATGATGATGATGATGATGATGATGATGATGATGATGATACTGAAGATGATGATGCTGACTATGACGATGATGATGATGATGATGATGATGATGCTGATGATGGTGATGATGATGGTGGTGGTGATGATGATGATTATGGTGATGACAACGGCGATTATGATGGTAACGGCGACAATGACGGTTACAATGACAATGATGATTCCGGTGATGATGTTTATGGTGGCGATGGTGATGATGAATGATGTTGTTGTTGATGTTGATGTTTACGGCGATACTGCTGACGATGTCAACGAACATGACGAGGATGCTGATGTGTATGATGATTCTGACTGTGATGAGGGGGCGGATGAGGAGGGGGAGGAGGTGGAGGAGGAAAAGAGGGAGGAGGACGAGGAGGAGGAGGAGGAGGAGGAGGAGGAGGAGGAGGAGGAAGGGGAGGAGGAGGAGGAGGAGGAGGAGGAGGAGCAGGATGAGGCAGAGGAGCAGGGTGAGGATGGTGATGGTGATAATGAGGAGTAGTAGGAGGAGGAGGAAGAGGAGGAGGAGGAACATGTGTAACGAAGGAAGGGCGGCATGAAGGAAGGAGGAGGAGAAGGAATAACGATGGAGGAAGCGTATGGGGGAGGACGGAGGCGATGGGAGGAGTTGGAGAAATAGGAAGAGGGATGGAAAGGGATGAGGTAGGGAGCGGGGGCAGAAACCTGTCGCACACCTTGTTTTGGAGGACGGATATAATTCCGCAGCAGCATGGGAACGATGATTTCCCGAAGCAGCGCTTGCACTTAGGAGTTCTTGCTTGCGTTTCAAAGGAATTGGATGGTGGTCCAGAGGATTCGCCACGTTTCAGCTTGTTACTGCCCCGTTGCCGTCCGTTGACGCCTGTGGGGGTGCCCTGGAGATTTGCCACGTTCAGGCCCGTTGCCACCCGTTGCCACGTTCCGGCCCCTGGAGATTGGTCACATGCGGGGGTGTTCAGAGGATTCGCAAGGTTCAGCCCGTTGCCACCCGTTGCCGCCTTTCGGGGTGTCCCGAGGATTCGCCATGTATGGCCAGCTGCCGGCCGTGAACTTATATATCTGCATCTGTATATATATATATATACATATAGTTATACATAGATGTATACACACGTGTCTGTTTATTTACATGCTAGCCCGCGGGGACCGCCCAACAGTGTGTTTCTAGCAATCATTATTGTGCAATATAGGTTGTGTAATACAACTAAACTACGCTGTTTATGTTGTGCTGCATATGCATTACACTATGTAGTGCAATCGATGTTGTGTAGCATAGGTTGTGCAACATATGTAGTGCAATATATGTCTTGCAATATATTGACTACAATCAATGTTGTGAGCGATCAAAGTGCGCCCTGCAGGCGCGACATTTGTTTCGTGCAAGTTTCGTGGTGCAACAAAACGGCGGCGACGGGCGGCGACGGGGCGGCGACGCTGCTGCCACATAGCCGCCAGGCCGACGACACGGCCCAGACGAAGGGCGGCGGTGGGGCGGCGACGGCGGCCACATAGCCGCCAGACCGAATACACGGCCCATATCTTTCGAACAGAAACGCGAACCCCTAAGTGCAATCACTGTTTTGGAAGTACATGTCACTGTATTTGTACGCACCTACTATACATACACATAACTATACGTATGTATGCATGTATATGTGTATATATATATATATGCGCTACGGCCAAAAAAACCTACCAATTGAAACCACATCGGGGATGCCGCGGTCGGCGTTTCGTGGGAACGCGTCGGTTTCGGCCACACCTCCAGGGCCCCGGAGGGGCACAAACCCTCGTATTCCCCGCATTCGTCCTTGCGAACAGCGTCGACTTAGAGAATCTGTGCTTCATATCTGGTATATACCTAGCACCCTGCAGTTGCGGATAAGAGTGAGGGGGTGGGCGGGCCGCGGGTGGGTCGCGGGTGGGTCGCGGATGGGTCGCGGGTGGGTCGCGGGTGGGTCGCGGGGTGGGTCGCGAGCGGGACGACGGCAACAAGCAACAACGACAACATCAATGACAACGACAACGACAGCGACAACGACAACAATAATAGTAATAATAGTAACAGCAACAACAACAATGACCACGACAACAATCATTCTAAGACTATATACTCGCCTTTATCTGCTCTCGTGCCAGCCAACACGTATATCACAAACCCTGGATACCCACCCTCTTGGTCTTCGATCGTGCCCTTTTATGGGTATATTTTTTCTTACCTGCAACGTGTACTTCGTGCAGCCCCCGAGGCAGGGGAAGAAGGGACGGATGCAAGGAAGGGACTAGGGGCAGGCGGATTGCTGAAGCGTGCGTCCGGCATGGGTCACGAGGAAGTCTTTATCGAAAGCTCGAATTCCAAATTCATCGTTACGAAATCCGTAGCGAGAGCGTGATTCCTGAGTGTCGAGGGCGCGGCGTCTGAATACATTGCGACGCGCGAGAGCGCGTTTTGGAAATCCACTGTGAGGAAGTACCAGGCGGGAGCCGTTGTTGTAAACTGGGTGCCAGGGGCCGAGTTTGGTGACACGCAGTTTTCCCTCGTGAGGAACACGATGCGAGCCTCGGGAGAAGCACTTCAACTCAACAATGCGATGGTTAGCAGCATGTGGGGTCAACATTAGATTTTTCTGGAGAAGCGAGAACTCATTAACAGCAATCATTTCCAGACTGTTCGCTTTTATCTGGTCTCGTGCAGTTCAAAACGTAAATCCCAGACCCTCGATGCCCGCACGCTTCGTCTTCGATCGTACCCCCAGTGAGGGTCTATATGTTTTACCTGCAGCGCGTATTTCGTACAGCCGTTCAGGCGGGGGAAGAGAGGACGGATGGAAGAACGGGTCAAGTGGCAGGCGGGTTGCTGAAGGGTGCGTCGTGCATGTATCGCGAAGAAGTCTCGAGCGACAGCGCGATTCCCAAATACATCGTGACGAAATTCTTCGCGAGAGCGTGATTCCTGAGTGTCGAGGGCGCGGCGTCTGAAACAATTGCGAGGGGTCCCACGAGGGAGCGCGATTCCTGTATAACTTGTGAGGAAGTCCCATGCGAGAGCGCGATTTGGGACTCCGTTGTGATGAAGTATCAGGCGGGAGCCGTTATTGTAAACCAGGTGCCAGGGGCCGAGTTTGGTGACACTTCAGTTTCTTGTGAAAAACCTGGATGCGAGCCTCGGAAGAAGCACTTCACTTGAAAAATGCAATGGTTAGCGAAGGGGGGGGGGGGGCAACCATAATTCCCAACCATCCTGTGGTGTTGGGTCCTCGTTGTGAAGAGACAACGCCCCGCGTCCTCCCCCCTCCTCCCTCCTCCTCCTCCTCCTCCTCCTTTTCCTCCTTCTCCTCCTCCTCCTCCTCCCTCCTGCCATCCCCGCCTCTGCTTTCCACATGCTCACCATTTTGGCACACCCTGCAAGAGGATCGTGGCCCCAGAGGGAGCTCCACCGAAGGTCCCAGTAGGGCAGTTCGCATGCGTCCCGGCGATTCCTTTCGCCGCACCCTCACGCATTTCGTGGCTTCATGGGAAGCTCCACCTAAGGTCTCAGTGGCGCAGTTCGCATGCGCCCAGACCACCCATTTCGCCGACAAGTTTCGGGGCCCATCTGGGGAGCTCCACCTAAGGTCTCAGTGGCGCAAATCGCATGCGTCCTGGCCGCCATTTTCGCCACACCCGCACACGTTTCGTGGCCCCACAGGGACCTCCACCTAAGGTCCCCGTGGCGCATTTCGCATGCGCTTCGGCCACTCATTTCGCCACACCCTCTCACGCGTCGTGGCCCTGTGGGGAGCTCCACCGAAGGACCCCGTGGCGCAGTTCGCATGCGTCCCGGCCACACATGCCGGCACACCCCTCGCATGTTTCGTGGCCCCATAGGGAGCTCCACCGAAGGGGCCAGTGGCAGCGCCCGCATCGCGGCTCCGCCCCATGTCGGCACACCGCTCATACGCTTCGTGGCCCCAGAAAAGGGGGCTCTACCTCAGGTCCCAGAGGCAGCGCCCGCCCCATTTCGGCACACCATTCACACGCTTCGTGGCCCCATGAGAAGATCCACCGAAGGAGATACCCACAACAACGGTACTCACAGCTGCACATGGTTGGGTCCTTCGCCAGGGTCATGTTTGGGGAAATGAGATTTCGATAACAACCCGCACCGCGGAAGCCCACTTCAGCCACGCACCCAGGGACAGTCAGTGACCGTTCGCCCCCCCTCCCTACTCTGAGATATAGAGATATATATATATATGTATGAATGTATGTATGTATGTATGTATGTATGTATGCATGCATGCATGCATGCATGCATGCATGCATGTATGTTTGTATTCATGTATGTATGTATTTAGGTATGTATGTATGTATGTATGCATGTATGTATGCATGTATGTATGTGTGCATGTATGTGTGTTTGTCTTTTTCTATGTCTATGTCTATGTAGATCCAATGCCTATGCCTACGTCTATGTATATATGTACTGACCTCCGCAATGATACACTTATTCATATGTACACAGATAATCAAAACACTGCTTGCACTGGGTGGTCCTACTACTCATGTCACGAGATTTGGATTGGATCAGTGATGATTTGCCCTGTTGCCGCCCGTGGCCGCCTCGTGGCCGCCTTGCGCGCTGGGTGGGTCGGGCGAGGTTTCGCCACGTTGCCGCCCGTGGCCGCTTTGTGGCCGCCTCCTGCGCTGTGCCAGGGCCGGCGAGGTTTCGCCACGTTGCCGCCCGTGGCCGCCTCGTGGCCGCCTCGTGCGCTGGGCAGGTCTGGCGAGGATTCGCCGCGTTGCCGCCCGTGGCCGCCTCGTGGCCACCTCGTGCGCTGGGTGGGTCTGGCGAGGTTTCGCCGCGTTGCCGCCCGTGGCCGCCTCGTGGCCACCTCGTGCGCTGGGTGGGTCTGGCGAGGATTCGCCACGTTGCCGCCCGTGGCCGCCTCGTGGCCGTCTCGTGCGCTGGGCAGGTCTGGCGAGGATTCGCCGCGTTGCCGCCCGTGGCCGCCTCGTGGCCGTCTCGTGCGCTGGGCGGGTCTGGCGGGGTTTCGCCGCGTTGCCGCCCGTGGCCGCCTCGTGGCCACCTCGTGTGCTGGGTGCGTCCGGCGAGGTTTCGCCACGTTGCCGCCCGTGACCGCCTCATGGCCGCCTCGTGCGCTGGGTTGGTCCGGCGAGGTTTCGCCGCGTTGCCGCCCGTCGCCGCCTTGTTGCCGCTTGGGGGGTCCGCCAAGGCGTCGCCACGTTGTCGCCCGTCGCCGCCCATAGCCGCGTCGTGGCCGCTCTGGGGGTCCGCTGGGGATTCGCCGCATTGCCGACTCGTTGCCGCGTCACCACTTAGCTTACACCACATTGCCTGCACCACATAGTTAGCACCACGTCGATAGCACCACATGGCTAGCACTCATCGAGAACAGGAGAACCCCCAATCCGAATGACGCGATGAAGACGTGGCCTCGCTGAGGTCCCCGTCTTTGCATCACGGGTCATAGCTCTGGACGGTTGGTTTCGATACATCTGCAGCGAAGATCCCCTGCCCCTAATGTTGTTTGACCCTCCTAACTTAGGTTCCCTCCCAAAGGCTTGATTAGGGGTCCTTTCTGGGCTACTCGCACACCACATACATTCCCTTGCAAGAGAAACATAGTCTCTACCACCCTCCCCACCCGAGACGGAACGGCACTCCCTGGGACACTGTTCATTAAGTATGATGTTTGCCTCATCTCTCGTTTTCTATTTGAAATCATACCCTCCGAGGCAAACTGGCTTTCGCCGCTCCCCCCCCCCAGCCATGTCAAATAATGCCAATATGCGCGCGCACTCGTTCATCGCAACAGATCCTTGTCCACATAGTCCATGGCAAGAAATAAGCACAACGTCCACACGCGCGCGCACATGTCGAAATCACACCACGCACACCAGATCTGCATGGACCTCAGTATATAAACATTAGAACTATTTGGTTTGCCA